GAAAGAATTTCAAATTCTGATTTGAAAAAAAAAGTTTGAGGTAAGATTTTGATCTTTAAAAAAGGATGTTTTAAGAAAAACAGTTATAAAGTTGTCAAACCTTTGCTCAAATGAGCAATATTCAATTTTAAGAATGATTTGTAAGACCTCTGGGCATAATCTCTTATGATTTCTTCTAATAATCCATAAGACCTCTAGACATAATTATCGATGAGCCTTATTTATTTTTTAAAAGTCGTTGAGCTTCTATTTATGAGAGCTTTATTTATTTTTCAAAGTCATGAGCCTCTATTTAGATGAGCTTTATTTATTTTTCAAAAGTTGTTGAGCTTCTGTTTAGAGGAACATTACTTATTTTTTTAAAGTCATGAGTCTTTGTTTAAAGGAGCCTTTTTATTTTTCAAAGTCGTGAGCCTCTGCTTAAAGAAGCCTTATTTATTTTTCGAAGTCGTTGAGCTTCTGTTTAGAGGAGCCTTATTTCTTTTTCAAAAATTATTGAGCTTCTTCTTAGAGGAGCCTTATTTACTTTTCTAAAGTCGTTAAGCCTCTGTTTAGAGAAGCTTTAGTTATTTTTCAAAATTATTGAGCCTCTGCTTAGAAGAACCTTATTTATTTTTTAAAAGTTGTTAAGTCTTTGCTTAAAAGAGTCTTATTTATTTTTTAATGTTATTGAGTCTCTGCTTAGAGGAGTTTTATTTAGTTTTCAAAGTTATTGAGCCTCTACTTAGAGGAGCTTTATGTTTCAGAAGTGGTTGAGCTTCTGCTTAGAGAAACTTTATTTATCTCAAAAGTTGTGAAGTCTCTATTTAGATGAGTTTTTATGTTATTTCAAAGTTTGAGTATGCTTAAAAAAAAAGATGTGTCGAGTTAATTCTTGATTGGATTGTCTATGTCTTTACATAATTTTTGTTTTACAAAAAATAAGTAAAGAAGAACAGCTGTAGACACTCCAATTTGTCTAAGGTTTCACTTGTTTGTGTTAATTAAAAAATAAATAATAAAAATAAAAAAGAAAAAGAAAAAAAATCAATTGTTGAGTTTGTATGGAACTATGTGTGTGGATTGGAAAGGTTAAGTTGGACTTAAAATCTTAAAATCTATAGGAAAGTTTAAAGGGAATCAAAATCCTTTATGGATAGGGTTCTTTGAATCAGAACCCTATAAACACAGACCCTAACCAAGCCTAAAAAATCACATAAAAAGTAAAAAAATACACATAAAAAGGAAAAAATATAGTAAAGGGTAGAGAGATCAACAAAATAAAAAAAATTTAAAGATTTTTTTCTAAAAAAACTAGAAATTTTTAGATTTTGATGAATTTTTTTAGATTTCGATGACATTTGAATTTTTCGATGAGTTTTTCATAATTCGGTTGAAGACTCCGATGAAGATTGAATTTTTCGATGAACTTTCGATGATTCAACCTAGATCTCAGCGTGAATTTCTAGAATTTGGTGAAGATTCAATCGGTGTTCTTTGAGTTTTAGAGAGAGAAAGAGAGAAAAGAGAAAAGGAGAGAGAATGGAAAAAAATTGAGGAAAAAAAAGTTTTGGCCTATTTATACCCCATCGAAACGACGTTATTTTGGAGGTTTAGTTCACCTAGGATTCATGCATTTTGCAAGCAAAAGATCTGACCTGAGTGTTCGACTCGCTTTAACCTACTTCCATGTCGTTGGCTCGAGTCGGGTCGAGCCCCTAGCCGAGCCATTAACTGAGCCGTTCCAATTGTTCCCCTCTTTGCAGTTGAGCCATTCCAGTCGCTGAGCTAAGCCGTTTTTGTTTTAATTTTTTATTTTTTTATTAATTTATTAATTTGGTTATTTCATTTATTTTTAAAGTATTTTTGCATGATTAAATTTTAAGAAAAAATAAAAAAATATAAAACAAAATAAAATATTCTTTTAAGAATAAATAATAGTTATCCGACGATGGAATTTTGAGAAATTTCAAGTGATAAATTTTTACAAAATTTTTAGGTGAGAAATTTTTTTAAAATTTATCCCAAATGATGAAATAATTTAGATAAAATATCAATAATAATAATAATTAATATTTATTTTTAATTTCAAAAAATAAAAAAATAAAATTTAATAAAAAATTTGAAATTAAATACCAATTATCCAATGACGAGATTCTTAGAAATTTCAAATTGTAAATTTCTTAAGAAATCTCTATGTGAGAAATTTTTATAAATTTGTCCCAAATAGTGAAATAATTTTGATGAAATTTCAATAAAAGTAATTGTATTCTTTTCCAAATAAAAAAAATTTTGTTGAAAATATTCGATAAATTATTAAATTATGAGATTCTTAGAAATTTCAAATAGTAAATTTCTTAAGAAATCTCTAAATGAGAAATTTATTTAAATTTGTTCCCAATGAGGGAAGAATTTGAATGAAATTTCAATAAAAATAATTTTCATATTATTTTCTTTTTGAAGATAAAAAAAAAAAAGAATTTCTAAATAGATCCAAATTGTGAAAAATTTAAAAATCAAAATGAAATATTTAAATAGGCCCGAATGGTGAAAAATTTAAAAATTACAAAAATAAGATATTTCTAATTTGACCAAAATAGTGAAATAATTAGATATACTTTCAATAAAAAAAACTAAAATAAAAAAATTGATTAAATCTTTTTCTAACAATTGAGCCTCTTCAAGAAAACAAATGAAATTTTTAAATACTTTTGATGTAAGAAAGTATTTTTAAGAATTCAATCAGATTGATGGAGAATTTTAAAAATTATTTTCAATATTCAACATTAAAATTTAAGATCATTAGAATCAATATCTTAAGATAATTTAAAATAAAATAGTATCATCCTTTGGAAGGATATGTAAGGGTGCTATAACTTTTCTCATATATAATCGAACTCTTGAATCCTGTTCTAATTAGTAGATTAAAATTTATTCTTTTAGAGACTTTTAGTCAAGTTTAGAAGTTCCTAAAAAAAAAAAATTCATTAGGTGGTCAATCACATCTAGATAAAAGATTGGAGGCGATTCCTCTTATTAATTTTAGCTATAGATTTTCAAATCTATATGTTATGACTATATATATATATATATATATATCTTTTGCTTTAGTTTGTCATTGATTAATTGGATATATCAATATGAAAAATGAAAATTGAACATCCAGGCTTTTGTCTACACGCCACAGGAATCAAGTGGGTTACATTTCTAGGGGCATTTTCATAAGGGAGTGTAGTGAATTGAACCTGATAAATATTGAAAACGAAAAGGAACAATCAAAAAAGGAAAAAAAAAAAAAAGAATTGACAACAAACAAGAACCTAAATGATGCACAGCTAAAGTCGGCAGATTGGGATGGGAAAGGCCTCATCAGGTTGACGAACATTCTGAACGATTGCCATCTGTTTATTTTATCTAACTCTGCTGCTTCTTGTGGATATATATACTCAAAGGTAGAAAATTCCCAAAATAGTGGCTATACTTTTCTAGGTTACTTTTGATCACAATCTTCTTCTTTATGTCCTCAAAGAAAATGGATTTTGATATGTGTGAAAGAGATATATATACCTATCTTCAATAAAGTGCTGTCTTTAATCGTGTGCTTACTATAATCTGCCTGATCCTGATTATCAAGTAGACTATGAGACTATCAAACTATGCTTTCAACCCTTCATTTTCCTTGATATCAATGTTCGACACATGGTATGAAGGTCCGATCGTCTAAATATATGAAAAAATTTAGAAAAAAAATTGAACATCGTTGTATCAGACAAATACACGAATCCGACACTCATTCCTGCCAAGTAATTAACAAAGCTACTAAAAATGGGGAACTATATATATGCTAATATTGTTATCATTCTATGGAAATCTAGTCTGATCATTAGTCATTATAAACTTTTGTGCAATATTAGAACATAGCAAAACAACATGAAATCTCGACTTATAACAGGAATTTCCATATGGAAGGCCTGCATGTGACGACAAATTTGAACAAGGATTAAGTGTTGGATAGTGATATAATTAAAGTAGAGATTAATAATTAATTGTAGGTCCACGAGATGTTACTATAATCTGAATGAATGATTTACTGAAAATGACAAAGTGGTTTTATAAAGACATGACGTAGCCATGCAAAATTCTCCAATATGAGAGACTTCCCCTTTGGCACAGAATAATGATGCAAATTAGAATGTTTGCATAAAGATTAATTCTGTTTGTCACCATATTATTATTAAAAAAAAAAAAAAACCATCCCCGAGTATGCCGAGGACAAGAATTTGATCTAAAAAATATTAAAAAGGGAATGAGTTACTGATCCTGCTACCTAACATAAAGGAAAAACGGAAAAAAAAAGTAGTAGTAGTACTAAAAATCGAGGATTAATTCCTGAACTTTGGATGAGCCTTTCAAGGATTGAAAGGTTCTTATACGTGATGGAACAACACTAACAAGAATATAATTCAAACAAAATCAATCTTTGGTTTTTCAAAGAATATATGCATATATTTATTTCTTGAAATAAAATTGTTAAATTATTTAATCTTCCGTCATGTTATGTGTGCGCGTATGTATATGTATATATATATATATATATATATATATATATTTCAGAGTTGATTCTAAAGAGAAGGCCAAGCTCATCATGGAGAGTACTATTGAATTCCACATATATATGGCACCTTTCATGGAGTTGGAACTTGGAATATTAATTCATGACAGCAATCTTAATCCTCATTAAGCATCTTAAAAGTCACTCTTCCAACTGCATTTGCTTCTTACGCTATCATGGACAAAATTATAGGGAGCAAGAAGGGATCATGGTCCTCCAAAAAATTTTGATATCATTATGGATTAAAACTCGACCCCTTTCTCAAATTGATTCACTATTTCAATCCCTTTCATGATTTTGCTGGCTTCGCCCTTATATGTTATTGAATAGCAAGACAGAATCGAATATTAGTGAAGGCCATTAAAGTTATACGTAAAAATGAAAATTTTACTGTTGGATTTGAAAAGCTTGAGCCAATTAGTCACCCAACTATTTTTGATTTGATATAAATTTGCTAGTTGAACAAGTAACAACAACTTGAAGAATTATTTGGTCAACCAAAAGGGAAAAAGGTTTGACTTTCAAGAGTAGACTCCAAAAAAGTTTCAATTTTCAAAGCATAAGTATATATAAGATACATTAAACTCTATGTGTTATTGTCAGTACAAGGTATAGCCGGCTAGATACTAATATAAAGGAAATTATACAAACCGATGAGTTATTTTCAGTTGGAAATCACTAGAAGCATAGGGAACATTTAACTCTAAATTAAAGCCAAATAGCTCCTGCATTTTTGAGCAAGTTCTTCAAGGAACCATTGAGCTGAAGGGTCATGATTGTGTTAGCAGAGCCAATAAATTTGCCCCCAATAAACACTGCCGGAACAGATGGATTGCAGCCTAGCCTCATTAGAGCCCACTCCATTTCTTTGCCTCTTGCATCTTCATCAAGCTCATAAATTGCTGGACTCACCCCTTGCTCGTAGAACAATCTCTTGATTGCATGGCACATGCAACATGAACTCTTGCTGAAGATCACCACCGCCTTTTGTGATGCCAGTTTCACCACACGATCCATCTCTATGATCAAATTAATACTCGAATATAACTAAGAAAATTTGTTTGTTTATACAGAAAAAAGGCTGACAAATTGTGAAAGGAAATAAAATGCAACAACCAAAGATGACCAATTATATGGAAAAAACAAGATTTGGGCAAATGCTGGTTAATTGTTGTAGTAGTAGGCTTGGTTTGTCATGGATTTGAAGCTCTCATGAACATATATATAGAGGGGCTAGGTCATGGCTGAAGGTAGTGAGCTACAAAATAACATTTTTAATTTAATATTGCAAAAGAAAAAAAGGGAGGACAAGGATATGAAAAAGATGAAGGTTCCTTGAGATATTTGGATTGATGCCACCTCCCATATATCACCCTTGATTTGATAGTGACTTGTGTGGTTTTTGTTCAAACTATTTACCTAGCTAGTTGTCTTAGAATCTTTCAAAACTCAAAATATATGGATAAGCCAATTGCATTGCCGAAAGGAGGGTAATGTTAACCAAAAGAGAATTGAAAAAACAAAAATTTTTTTTTTTGGCTTGTAATGTACGGTCCTTGCCCCTTTTTTTTGGAAGAAAATGCCCCTTGATTTTCGATGTGACTGTCAAGTGGTGGAGAATGTCAACTTTTGATAGTATTTTTGTGATATGATAAACCTGAAAAATTAATGGGATGCTGATGAAATATAAAGATGCAGACACGCATGAATTATTTGTTTCTCTAGAACTAGCTAGGATTTGATATTAATGAACAGAAATCATTATTAGTGATGTGATTAAGTCATTGATAACTTCCAAATTTGAGTGGATTTATGTTTCTTTGTTTGGGTTTTATTTCCTTAATTTGTATCAAAGATTTCCTTAATTTTGAAATACCAAAAAAAAAAAAAAAAGAGAATGGACTTTCATTCATGTCTCATAAACCCTATGATTTTTTAGCTTACACAATGGCTAATTTGTTATTGTTATCCAAGATAAAATCCCATTTAAAAAAGATTCTCATACAAGTTAATTCTTTTTTTTTTCTTTTATAATTAAGACAATAGATAGCAAAAAGCTTATTGGAAATTAAGAATGTTCAAGTCAAATGCCTAGGCTGCAAAATTTGCAGCAAGTTGGAAAACAGAGATCTCTAAGTTCCAAAATATGGCTGGGGCTGCGACAAATTCCTCTGAATTGGGCTTTTGCCCAGTTGCCTGGATGTGCAGATATGCATGCACTAAATGGATACTTATACAAAATTGGGTTACTTGACTACAATATATGGCTAGCTAGGCTAGGCTTTTAGTTGGGTTACAAATATATATACTTCACGTGAACTGGATTCTATTCAAGGAATGAGACCTTCACCATTAGAGGAATATGAAAAATATTATTCATCATCGCATCACATTTGTCAGAAATGGCAATAATCTATTGGTTTAAGTATAATCAGTTGATTTCTTCATATGATGATACATAGATTTCACTTTTGAAATTTATCCAATAATTATAGGTCATGTCATATATATATATATATATATATATATATAGCTTGGAAAAATTAAAACAAACTTATAAGATGTATGTATAATTAATGATCAATGAAAAATTTTTGAAGTTGGTATAATTTTTATGCGGAGATTCGTCGAAAAATATCTTTTTTTCATGTGTTTAGAGAAACTAATCATCTTGCTGATTCCTTAATTAAGTTGGGAGTTCATATATAGAAACTCAGATTTTGTAACTCGAATATAGCTATAGCTATAGCTATGTTCTTTTTCATTTTTTAATAAAATTCTTTTTAACTTCACAAAATTTTTTTGAAGAAATCTCAACATTTTTGGAAGAGGATAGCTAGTTTGATGTGAATTACTTATACAAAAAACACCAACATTATAAGGTGATGAGGAAAACATGAGGTGTACATCCATGAAAAAGCTTTAGCATTTTCATTTTGGTGTGGGTTCGAAAGGATCTAGTTTTCCTGTCATCTGCAGCCCATTACCAGTATCTCCCTATATATAATAGATGAGAACTTTTTGAATATATATATATATATATATATATATATAATTACTATAGTTGATGTTTGTTTTATTTGGCCAAAAATTCATGGCTCAAACAATCTCAACACATCTAAACGATTCTAGCAGCAAATCAAAGACGGTCCAATCATCTTTTTCAGCAGACTTATGGCTGATACGCTACCTTTATTCCCAAATTAAAGTTTGATTGAATTGTAGCAGCACAATTAGAGCCAGCTAATTGGGGATATGAAAAAAATTGTTAGTCCCTTTGAAATGACGGTAGCGTTCGTTCTTTTGTCCTTTTTTGTTACCTTGGAGGAGCTGCTAGCTCTCAATCCTTCAATCAGTCAAGAATCAAGACAATTTTGATCATAAAATTCTGAAATGATCAGATTAGATATCCCATGCACGTTTTAGATTCAATCGAGTAAACAAGTGACAAATTGATCATTAATCTCTGAATGAGATGTCAAAGAATAATTAACAGTACTCCTAGGGAATCAACTTCATAACCAATCTTGAAAAAATATTTGTGGAACAATCAACATCATCAAGAACAAAGCACGTGAACCATTTTTTTATCTATATCTTTTTTGCAACTGATATTTTAATTTGTTCTGTAATTTGAAAGGACTCAAACAAATTTGGGAGAATCATTTTTTCTCCTGCTTTTGGGTAATGGATGGAGAGGTATTCCTTGTGTTTTTTTTCGTATCTAAAAAAGTTATAAATAAAGCTAAACGAGTATAATACGTGTGTGAGTGTGTTGGATCAGCCTTTCCCATCCCTTTCTTTCTTTTTCTTATAGAAAAAGGAATGCTAATAAAGAAAGTAAGAGAGCGGGCTATTTGTACAAAGGCCTGTACCTCACCAATCCAAAACCCTAATATGGGATGCCATGATCCGTCCTTGCATGCATTACATTTCTTTTTATCTTCTTTGTCCCGAAAAGTTGACATTCTTTTGCCTTATCGTGGACCTTATCCTCTCATCTCATCATGCATGCATGCACATCCTAACCATGTATCCAACATATATATATATATATATATATATATATATATAAAACTTTTCTAGCATAAAGTAGATATGGTATAAACTAGGTGAAGGATCGATATGAACTATAAATGCATGCATGCATATATATATATAAAACTTTTCTAGCATAAAGTAGATATGGCATAAACTAGGTGAAGGATCGATATGAACTATAAATGCATGCATGCATGCATGCATGACTTATTGATACGTACGTAGGTATAAGGGAGACATATATATATATATATATATATATATTACGGTCAAGTATATATATGAACGACCCTACAAAATTTGGCTTTTGGCCTAGCCATTGGGTCGATTATGGGACTGTTATCCTTTATATTTATGTTTAATTTTTAGGTTAGTTGCCTGGAAACATTACCCTGACGTGAAAATAACTTGTCAGAAAAGAGTATACTTTAAACATTGTCATGAAACAAACAAGATTCCAACTGGTGACGAAAAAAAAATGAAGAAACTTTTGAAGTTTTTGATGGCGATGAGATTTTTCTAGAGAAATTTAAATGACTGTATTTCTGATGAATTATCAGCCACACTGTTTCAATCGATGACACATAATTCTCTTTGGTAGATCACCTAGAGATTTTGTTCCATATGGTTGAATTCTTTTTATAAAGAAAAAATGAATTCAAAAGTATGAAGGACATGAAAAAAACAAGGCTATACTACGACAATGGATGATGTTGGGGACCTCAAAGCTTAGGGCATCTATATATGTGTCATATCTTTCAATGTACGGTCACTTTTGTTGAAACAAAAAAAACTGTGAGCCATATGCTATTGAAAGTGAAGGAAGGTTAGCTCACATCCAGCTCAAAGCAAAGAAGAAACTGCAAAATCTCTTATCATCAAACGGTTTCAAGTTTTCCTTCTCTGGTTGGTGAGAATATATTTATATATAGTTCATCTCTCTCTTTCACGTACATGGCTTTCTATTTTCTTTGTAATTGGGAATTTATGCACCTCTATGATTATAACAACAACAAACAAACAAACAACAAAGGAAAAGGTCCCAATTGGATAAATCCAACTGCTTTCTCCAACGCAGCAGATGCCTCCATGACAGCAACACCACCACCACCACTCCTATCTAATTATTTATAATAAGAAACCCAAATATACCATAACAATAATATCTATGTTACCCTCAAAATTAAAGATCACCTAGATTATTCATATATATTTATATATATATATTTGTTTTTGATATATTGACAGTGAAAATTTATTAATTTTGCTATAACTAAGTATGATAATTTCTCATGGTATATATATTAAAAAAATTGAAATTTTCTGATCTAATCTAAACATTCCAAAAAAATTTACATTCTAAAATAGGTATTTGTACAAAAATGTAAAGTATGCATATTATTATTCTATAAATCCACTATACATTGTGATTTTGAGAGACTATATGGAATATAATTATTTGTATCGTGAAACACGTGATAAAAAATTAGATTTGTTCGTAAACTTTTTTATGTTGAGTGATTAGTAATTTATACATGGATAGAATATTAATCCATAATATTAATGTTTTGGTAGAAAAAAATATTTTTGAGGCGAAGGTAATAATGATAATAATGCATGTTTTACCGTACAAAGGTCACGTCTCTATTAATTTCCGTATGCAAAAATATTCGTGATAGTGCTCTTTCCTTTTTCATTGCAATAGTGCATGGCTTTGATCGTTTGCATCTATGATCTTAAGAGAGAAAGAGTGGAGTTGGAAACCGACCCTAATATCTAATCGAACATTCTCTCATTTTTTCTTTTTGTTTTCCATCAAACCTTTAGTTTTCTTGCCTACCCAATGCCACATTCCTCAAAGCACCTCTATAAATAAGTGCCCATTGGGTATTCAAAGCACCTCACAACTCAACAAAAGGACCTCAAGCAGCCTTTCATTTACTTTTGCATTCCCTCATTCACTTGCAAAAACCATTTCTTTTATAATTTCCTAGCTATCTTTTGACATTGTTTCCTCATTAGCAATGGAAAGGGTTACAAAGTTGGCATCCGAGAAGCCGGTGGTGATCTTCAGCAAGAGTTCTTGTTGCATGTGCCACACCATCAAGACCCTTTTCTATGAGTTTGGGGCGAGCCCTGCAATCCATGAGCTCGATGAAATCCCTAGGGGGCGTGAAATTGAGCAAGCTCTGTTGAGGCTCGGTTGCAGCCCTTCTGTTCCGGCCGTGTTCATTGGTGGTGAACTTGTTGGTGGAGCCAATGAGGTCATGAGCCTTCACCTTAATCGATCCTTAATCCCAATGCTTAGACGAGTTGGAGCCCTTTGGGTTTAACTAAAATACCCCTAACTTGCAAGTCAAGGCATTAATAAACATGTGATTATGTACACGTAATCACATTAATTAGATCCATATATAAGAGTATAGATTTCAGGTCTAATTAACATTAGAATGTATTAAGAGCGGTACGCACTTTATATGGTCTTACTTATTATCGAGAGTAAAATATCTTTTTGGTAATGTATTAATATGCTTTTTTAATAATAAAAATTACGAGTTACAATATTATTTATCTTTTAATCTTCAACTGCTTTAAACTAATGCTAAATTTCTCTATTAAGATAATCATCTTAAACTAGTTCATACATAAATTCACCATTTCTTAAACTAATCTACATTAATTGACATGCAACTTTTGATTTGAAGGATGCATTTTCTTGAGAAAATTTGTATGCAACTGGTAAACTGCATTGTACAAGTATATAAATGGGCTTTTCATAAGAGATTGAAAATGGATTTGGGTTGAAAAAAATGGCAAAATGGGCCAAAAACTCATAGAAAAGCAAGGAGGTGAGTGAGAAAGCGACAAGTACCAGTAGCAGGCAGCGGCAAGTTCCGAGACAGAGCGATCCAAGCAATGGAGCCCACTGCCGCTCGCAATAAATGCCTCGACTCTCTAAAAACTGCACTAAACAACAAAAAGACTCGTATTTTTTTGGCCTTTTACCATTTGACACAGAAACTTATTACTTACCCAACGGTCATTTTTCCATGTTATTTCTCACTCTTCCTCAGTCACTCTCAACAGTGCTCTGTCACTGTTACAATTTCTCAATCTTCTTTTTATTCCATTTAGAGCTAAAAATATAGAGTTCAATCAACAATTCAATTTCGAAAATGACCATTATTCACATTTTAAAAAAAAAAAGACCGAAGTTGGTATTAATGATTCTTGATATGTAGTACAGCTTGAATCAATACATGATGAAAGAATTTTGATTAACATTGAATATTATTTTATGATTGAATTTATTGATAAATGAATAATATTAATTATTTTTTTTATGAAAAATAGTACTAATAAACAATGATTTGATAAAAAAACTATAATAAATAATGGTTGGATTGAGATTCGAAACTCATGTGATACTTGTAAGAAGAAGAGTTTTTTATTTAAAAAATTTATCTAATGAAGATTTAGTTTTCATGAAAAATATTATATTATAAAATTTTTAATATATCAAGTTGATAAAAAATATATATTTGAAATAATTTTAATTTTGAGAATACTCTTTTCTTATAAAAACTATTATTATCGCAAGAATGAAATTAATGGGTTTAAAAAAGAAACTAATATTATTGAACAAAGAATGAAAAAAAAAAAGGACAAATGGGTGAATTTGAACTTCCATTACATTTTCATGAGCTAAAGTAAGCTTTAACTAGCACTGGTCACTAGTTTCTAGCTGTTAAGAGATTGTTAGAAAGACTTTCCAAAGCAAATCTTGGTAAAAGGATCTCATCATCAAACAAAACACAACAAGACACAACAAATGCACTTCACTGCTTCTTGACTTCTTTTTCTCTTTCTTAATTGCTCAGTTGTTTTGCTTTGCTTTAGTTACTATCTCTCCCTGTCTCTCTCATCGCTATTTGCAGAAGATACAGCTCACTTCCTTCAAAACCCACTTCCATAACCTTTTTTACTTCCAAAATAATGTTTCAACCACTTTCATCTTCACCTACCTTCATTTCCTCAATGGCCCATTAACTCTCTATTTTACTTTGTTTTCTTAGTAACCCAACTGAAGTCTGAGGTTAAAGGTCAAACCTTTTGTGTCAGGTTATGCTAAGTCCATGGATGTGGTGGATTGTACTTTGCTTTTATTAAAAAAAAAAGTTTGATAAATGAAAGGGGTTTTATCACTTTATCTGTGTTGTGTGGCTGTTAGGCTTTTTATTTTAAGCTGTTTTTCTTTTTCTTTTTGGATAATTTAAAGTTGTTTTTCTTGATGATAATGTAGCTTCTTTTTTGTGGAAATTTTAGGGTTTCATTTTCTTGTTTTTGATTGCAAGAGGTTTCCTTTGCTACATCAAAAGGTCTGCTTAGATGAAAATGTTTAGCTTTTCTCGTAGACGCATGAAGCTTGGCAGGTCAGTTTCTTCTTTTCATTTGTTGACTTATTAGTCATATTTTCTTTCATTTTTCTTGCTTTGACATTTCCATTCTTTATTTAAATGTATGTTCTTTGTCAATAAGGGAAATGTAAGATAACCATTGTGAACAATTGATAGACTCCGTATGTGAATTGCAAACTTGATTGAAGAATACCCAAATCCCACTTTTTCATGAAGATTGCAGAAGGCCTCTTTTTACTGTATACTGCTTACATTTTTGGTACATTGCTGTGTTGATTTAGAGTGAAGAAAGTACAGCTTTCAGAGTCTGCTCATGGAATTAAAAGTCCTATAAGACCGCCCAAACGAAGCAACAATACCAATGTGAGGCTTTTGAGTTGTTTGATTTTGGTTTGGTATTGGTGATCATGTGTAAAAGATGCTAGAGCCTTCAAATTTGTTTCAGGTAGAGTCTGCTATGCCTGCTGGTGTTCATTCTGATGAACTTAAGTCCCATTGTCCTTCAACTGCACCTGAGATTAATTCATCAGGGAACTCTGAGAATTGGATGGTGTTGTCAGTTGCTGGGGAAAAGCCTGTACCGCGTTTTAATGTAATAATGGTTGCTTTTTCAATTTTCTGATGGCCTCATATCTTAGGTGTTAATTTAACTTTTATATATCAGCTATGATGGAAATGTTGAAAACTTTTACTTGTTCTTTGAGCAGCATGCAGCTGCTGTAGTGGGGAACAAGATGATAGTGGTTGGTGGTGAATCTGGGAATGGATTGTTAGATGATGTGCAGGTAAAATTGTGTTAATAATTTGTAATCTTTGAAAATTTATGTTAAGTTTTCTTGACATGGTGCAAGATGTGTCGGAAAATGTTAGTTTTAAGTCCTATAATTTTTTTCTGTTTTTATTTCAGGTTCTTAATTTTGATCATTTTTCCTGGACCACGGCATCGTCAAAGCTTTACTTGTCTCCAAGCAGTCTTCCTCTGAAGATCCCTTCATGCAAGGGCCATAGTCTGGTACAATCATATGTGATCTATTCTATTGTCCCAGATATCTTATTCTCTTTGCTTTGGATGCTACTGAATTATTGTTCCTATATGCTTTTCATCTGAGGTGTTTTCTGCTGTGTGGTACATATGATTGGGCGTGTGTATGTCTGAGGTGAATAGGATTCTTGCACCACTGCCATATCTACTAATTAGACTTAATTTGCATCGTTTTTTTTTCTTAATTTAATATTTTGGTTAAGTTATTTGTGATACTTTGCGGTATTATTGTGCTGGTTCATGTTAATTCTAACAATTGGCATGCGAAGCCTTAGGAGCGATGATATGCTTAAGGATCTTCTGTTGTTTCCTTACCCAGGTTTCATGGGGGAAAAAAGCCCTCCTTGTTGGAGGCAAAACTGACCCTGGCAATGACAGAGTTTCAGGTTCAAGATTAGAATCTTCTGTGGTTATGTTATTGTCATTTTGTTTTTGTACATGATGTAATGCATTTTCTGTTCTCAATTTTGGTGTTTGCAGTATGGGCACTTGATACAGAGACAGAATGTTGGTCAGTTATGGAAGCAAAAGGAGAAATACCGGTACTTTTTTCTGACTCGTAAAATGCCAAATTTTGTGTAAAGTAGCATTTCTTGCTTTGATATCAAACATCATAAAAAGCAAATGCCAAATGGGTAAGAATTCTAAATTGTATTGGACAATACATACACTTGATAGAGCTATAAAACTGGCACATCGTAAACTTGGTGTTTTCTTTGCTCCATCTCTCTTGCTATTTTATTGAGAAACTGTGGGTTTTACTCATTTATAGAAGTAAGCATTTCTAACAAACGTTGTCTTACCCTCCAGGTTGCTCGAAGTGGTCACACAGTGGTTAGGGCAAGCTCCGTTTTAATCCTTTTTGGGGGTGAAGATGCTAAAAAGAAGAAACTGAATGACCTACATATGTTTGATCTGAAGTCTCTGACATGGCTCACTCTTCAGTGCACGTGTGTAGTTTTGAGATTTTCCAATATTGTCTTCTAATTAAGCCCCTCTGTACCTGATGTCACTTTTGCTGATAGAGAATTCTGGCTCTTATCAATGCATCGTAAGACTAAATTCGTTATGCAAGAAGCTTCTAATAAATGAATTATTTTGTGTAACTTTACAGGGGTACAAGACCATCTCCAAGATCCAATCATGTGGCAACTCTTTATGATGATAAAACCCTTTTCATCTTTGGTGGAGCGTTAAAGTCTAGGACATTGAATGACTTATACTCACTTGACTTTGAAACGGTGTGTAAAATTTTTAGCAATCTTGAGGTTTACATTCGGATTATGTTGTTGAACCTTGTTATTTCTTTGTAATTTTTTATTAGCTTATAATGACCTTTTTATAATTACTTTTTCCCCAGATGGTATGGTCAAGAATAAAGATGCGGGGTTTTCATCCATCACCAAGAGCTGGTTGCTGTGGTGTTCTGTGTGGAGCGAAATGGTACATAGCAGGAGGTGGAAGTAGGAAAAAAAGTATGCCTCGTACCAGTAAGCATGTAGTAGCTCTTGAAAGAAATTATAAGCTTTGATGAAAAAAGCATCGTACATGAATTTGGTGACCTCTTTTTCTTGCGTGTTTTTAAATGGTTGAACCCGTAATTGGATATCATATCATTGTTTCATCTTGAAGCCAATCACTACTATCTTCGTCATCCCTTTGTATGTGTCGATGCATGTGTCTGTGAGCATGTAGTAACCATATTATGTTATGATTGGTATAGATGAGTTAAAGCATGTAGCACCTATAACCATGCAATACATAAAGCAATTAGTTTTTACTATTGTTTTATGTGTTATTCTTTTTGCATTCATTTTTACTTTTCTTTTCTCTTTTTTCCTTACATATTTGATTCTGAAATGTCTACAGGACATACAGAGACTTTCATCTATGATGTTTTAAAGTCTGAGTGGTCTGTGGCCATTGCATCACTTCCATCTTCAATCACCACTAACAAGGTGAACATGCTGAATTTGTCCTTTTGCATGAACGGTGTGATTCTTTAAATGATTTGATACCCTCATATTGCATGATGTGAATTATATATATATATATATATATATCTGGAATTCTGGTATGTTTTCTTTTTGCTAAAAGATTGCAAACTTGACCATTAGAGATGGTCATCTAGTTTTCTGGTTGGTTATGGATTTGAAGTTAAAAACAAGAAAATTCTGATAGGATTTTGTTTAAGCACAATGTAATCACTATTCACTAGTGGACATTCCTTAATAAGAGGTAGCTGTCATTGGTGGTAAGACATGGGGCCTCTATTGTTCTTAAGATAGTTGTTCTCGCAGGGATTTAGCCTAGTACTCGTGCAGCAAAAGGATAAGGATTTTCTTGTTGCGTTTGGCGGATACAGAAAGGAGCCATCAAATCAGGTTGAAGTTTGAATACATATACTTGGAATGAATAGTTTGTGTTTAAATCATAATTCCTTCTTTGTCTGTTAAACAGGTTGAAGTACTGATTATTGAGAAGAATGAATCATCCATGGGCCGGCGATCTACTCCCATTAAATCTGCTGGACAAATGCAGCTTGGAAAACGTTCATCATCTGCAGGGTCAGCTGGCCAACTTATGAATGGTTCTTCCCAACGATCAGTTGATTCTGCAGCTAGACAAAATCTAGCCTCTGCAATTGAACATGGTTCTGGTAGGAGATCGTTGTCAGAGTTGTCACTTGTGGATCAAAATCTTCTTTCTGGAAATGTCTCACTACGGAAGCAATTTATTGATGAGGAAGAATACAACACTACTGTTAGAATAACAAAGAGTTCAGAGGACTTAACTTCTATTCTGGTGGTAATTGTAAAAGCTTCATCTAATTAACTATTGCCTTCAGGATGATTAACATCCTTTAGTCTGTGCTCAAATTCCATTAACATAACATATTTTTGTTGTTTTAGGCGACAGAACAGAAAACAAATCAATCTGATACAGGAATTCAGACTAATGCTCCTGGGACCAAAATCAGTTTGGACGAATTGTTCCCATTTGAATCTGAAAGTTCAAATCCCCAGGTTGAAGGGATCTTAAAAATGCCCATGGATAATGATAATTTTGTATTTCCAGAAACAGATGATAAATCAGGTGCCCTGTTGGCTCCATCAAGCATATATCAATTTTATGAGACAAGAATGTCTGCCCTGAGTAGAAAAAATGGAATTTTAGAAGTACAGTTGACAGCTGCATTGGCAAGCCGAGACACTGTGGAGAGAAATTTAGCTTCTGCTCTCAAGAGCAAAGAGGAGATGGAGAAAAGACTTGCAGACACAATGAAGGAGATGGAATTGCTAAAAGAGAAACTAGCTGGCACAGAACTTGCACAAGAAGAGGCCAACAACTTATCTAACATTGTCCACTCAGACAATGTACGACTTGAACATGATGTAGCTTTCCTTAAGGCTGTTCTAGATGATACTCAAAAGGTATTGATTTTTTTGTCTTGTGCTAAAATTCATCCTGGAAACTTGCATTTTGGATCAAAATCTATTTTTGAAGAGCACCTGATTTGAAATATGTTCTAGGAGCTGCACTCAACCAGAGGAGTCCTTGCAGGGGAGAGGGCCAGAGCATTCCAACTACAGGTGTGGCTTTGAACCAAAATCCTTTACGTAAATGGGGAATAAAACTAAATGCTCTGTGATGGCTGCTTTAGTTAGATTTAATCGATGAGCGTGTGTGCTTGGATGCATGTGTTTGTCAAACCTGAGGTTAATGCCACTAGAATCAGAGTCAGTTGTATGCCAAATGATCACATAGAGTCAAATCGATCCTTAATTGTTGTCCCGTAAGATGAAGCTCATTTGTTTCGTCATCAATACTGTCTGCCTTTTCTTTTTCCCTATATGCTGCAATTCACCTAATATCACAATGCAGGTTGAAGTTTTCCATCTCAAACAAAGGCTGCAATCCTTGGAGAACCGAGCACCCACTCCTAGGAAACCATTCAATGTATAGTGTCAGAGTGAATCTGATTAGCATCAGTTATCCATCTATTTGCCATAACATGATGCGAGGTAGGAGGAACAGTGAACCTGCCTGGAATCGAGCATATGCAGATTCGTATTCTTTTGGTACTTTACTCTGTATATACGTATATCAACCACTATGTCAAATGTTTCCCCTGATGTAACCTCTACTGATTAGTACTATTGAGCTATAGCGTGGCTTTGATCTCAGCGGGCTTCTTGGAGGAACCCTGACTAAATGTAATGGTCGGAATCTAGCTGCTGACTGCATTATGTTCAAGTCAATCGACAGCAGCTGAAGAGTTTTAGCTTCTGTCTTTCAAACAATGCATATGGATGTTTGATTGCCTTAAAACTTGTGTATATTTATGCCATGATCTTGTATGAACAAAGAATTTGAATCAATCATTTTCGCTGGGTACATGTGGTCAAGCTTTACATTTTCAGATTTGGATAGTTTCTTTTGAAGGTGTTGATCCATGATGAACCACAGCTAGTAGCAGTCGTATTTTAAAAATCAGTGATCTGTGTCTGGTAATTATATCACTTTGTTTCATAAATTCGTGAAATTGACATACGTAAATAAATTTGCTTGAATTAATGAAAAAACAAACTGTACTGTATCCATATTCTCGATATCTACAAAATCGAATGTATTGGTGATTCCGATCCAAATGTAAAAGCCAACTATCGCACAACTGAGGCCATATTCGTCCTTATAGAATTCCCTATGAAACTTTTCAAACTTCCAAGTCTCCGCTGCATGATGTCAATTTCTGGTCCTCAAAAATTATAAATTTGGTGGACGTTATTTGGTTCAAATGGTGGCATGGTGTCTCACCTTGATTCATAATCAGCTTTTTTCTTCTCAACAAATGAATAATGCATTCAGGGATCCTATATGGATTGAAGACCTCGGCCACAGCACCTTACAAAAGCTCAGTCTCTTCTTGGTCTGCATCTGCATCTTCGACCTCATTTTCTTCCTCTTCTTCAGGTGCATCCGGATCCACTCCCTACAAGAAATCACTAGTTTAGTTTTTGAGCATCCATGCGTATATGCCTTCACAAATAAACAAACTCTCACTCCCGAAAAAGAAAAAGAAAGAATGGGCATCACAAGCACAAGACAGACCTTCATCTGTTTTTCCAGGCGTTCTAACCCCTTTTTCGCAGCTTCATTCTGAGGATTTATTCTGCAAAATGCATTAAAAATTAATTCATTCATTGCTGGATTATTTTAAAAATGAAAGATTCTCTTATAATCGTTAAAGTTTTTGACCATGTGCAGTCTACAATAAAAGAAAACTGGAGCATATCCTGAGTATGAACTGACCTCAATGCAGCTTGATAATGTGACAATGAGTCTTGAAGCATATTTGTGGCAGCAAATACTTGAGCCAGTTTGACATGAAGAGAGTCATCAGCCCAATCTTTGAGATAACGCTCAAGAAGAGATACGGCATCTCCATTTCGGCCCTCAATGACATGGAGCTCAGCTAAAGCTAATGCAGCTCCAAGGTAACCAGGTTCCAGCCTGAGCGCTGATTCATAGAACTTTTTTGCCTGTTACCAGTTTGGGTTAAAGTAAAACTTACTAAAATTTTCTTTCAGTGGCAATCTCTGGTCAATTAATGCTAATAATAGTCTATTACTGGCTTACCTTCTCCCTGCCTCCAGAATTGCTAGCATGAACATCGCCAACTAATTTCAGCGCCTTTGCAGACTGAGGCATGGCCTTCATTGCCTCCCTAGCAGCATAGAGGGCCTCCTTAAGTTTAGAAAATGCCAGATAGGAATGAACTAAACCTGAAATTATAACAGTCAAAGGTTTGCAAGGACTCCCTAATCTCATGATTCTTTCTTTCTTACATTATAACTACAACAAACAAATGGAAGGCAGAGATGGAGATAAGATGAATCTTATGCAGCTGAATAGTGAATTTGCACATTTTTTTCTCCTTGAAACTCAAACCTTGATACGAACGGAGATCAGCTCTCAATTCTTGAGCTCCCCTGAAGGCCATTACAGCAGCTTCTGGCCGCTTCAATGACAAGAGCAGGTTACCCTAACAGCACGCAGAAAATTATAGCAATTGATGAAGTTGAAGGTGAAAGTACAAAAAAAAAAAAATGTAAATTGCCAGGAAAAATAGCCCACAAAACTTTTAATGAGGATAAGCACCCATTATGTTGGATGGAAAATCTTTGAATACCTTCATTATGTAACCAGGTATGTGCCTCTCATCAATTTTGATGCTCTGGTTGTAAAGAATAAGTGAATTTGTGAGATATAGATATTTAAGGAGAGGAATGGACTATAGGAGATAAACCAGCTAACCTTTTCAGCATAAGATAGAGCACCTCTCTCATCTTTCCTTTCCCACAATACAGATAGAGCAACAAAAACTTCAGGTCTTGTAGGATCAATACTCAGCAAGTCATGCACTAACTTGTTCAACTTTGAATAATCAGACTTCATCTTTAGAAGCATTGCATACTCATCCATGTAAGTCACAACATAGGGATCAATGGATCGAACCTGCAAGGATACCAGACTCAAATTTGTTACTCTACATGAGTAGAAGTGTAAATAAGCATAGACAGAAAAAGACTTGAGAATGGTTCGTTGACATAAATATAGATAGTCTAATCACCTTCTCGAAATTCATTACTGCCTCATCAATCTTTCCAATGATGGCTTCAACCTGGTTATAGGAACATGTATTAGTGAATAGAAAGATAAATAAAAATTGAATGATCTAGATGCTATGAACAACCCACAACTAGCAAAGTTTAACATTAGTGGTAACATTCATAAATTCTCTTCCAGCCTTTTCTTCTCTCTTTCAAGCTAAAGCCAAGTCATTAGTTTTCTTTCCCACTAAGCAGATTAAGGAGCACAAAACATGCTAGATTCATTAGAATGCAACCATCCCTAACCTTTGCCATTTCAAGTAATATGTGTATGTTATTAGGGAAACGTTGTAAAAGTTCTGCAAAAAGTTCCAAACCACCTGCAAAAAGATTTAGGTTAAACAGTTCTCATCATGAAAAGAAATTCATAAAGCAGATAAGTTAACAAATATATCAGATAAAGAACTTCATCCATAAATAAGAGATGTTCTAGATTAAGAAAGGTTACAATTTGAAAAGAAAATTATCTTACCTTTGTAATCATTTGAAGCAATGCAACATTGTGCCTCAACATACCGCTGCACAAAATCAACAAATTACTAAGAATGTGGTCAAAGTAGAAATTAGCATCGAAATAAGCAATGAAACTAAAACAATAATGCAAGAGATAACAGAAAAACAACTAAGTGAAGCATTATTTTTTGGAGAAACCCATGATCACAGTTCCCAAATCCATACTTTATTGTTCATCAAGGAACATAAAACTAATAGGTAGCTCATTATGGAGAAGAATGTCATCCATTTTACTTTGTTCTTACTTGCAGCCAACGGCTTGAGTCACTATGATCTAATTGAGCCCTCCCACTTCTACTTGGAGTCTGGAATTACACAATTGCAACATGAAGATGTTAGAGAACAAAGATATATGGTTACAAAAACCATACAAAAAAATTTAATTAAATTAAACAAGTTGAAGTTAATAAGACACCAAACAGTCAACAAATCTAATTAGGAACTTCATAGAATTACTTGTGATGTTAAAACTTGAAACTATGTTAATGAGAATAACTTGGATTAGGGATAAATAATTTGCATGCCATAAAATCATGTTTTTGACAACCAAAGGACTATATCAAAAAACAAAAGTAAAATCTCCAATTCAAGGTGTTGGTGCACTATACAATGTAGCTTTCAAATTTCAATAACAAATTAGATTGCACTACCATATAAATTAAATTCTCTTGTATGAGTGAAAAAAAAAAATGATTACATAAAAGACAGAATCCATGCAACTTGACCCATGATATGTTGCATGTGAATAACTAGATGTTTACTAGTACGAACTCTATCTACAGCCTCCATGAGAATGAAAATTCCAGAAAAGTACTGCCCAATTTGACCTTCTAAATATGCCTGGATGGAATTCGGTGAAAAGTCAATACCATCTGAGAAAAGAAACCTTACGCAGACTCAAAGAAGAACATTGGACATCAAACAAAAAGTACATCTTGCATATTTGTTTAGCTGACCAGACATAAGGACAAGCATAGCACTTATATTGACAAACCTGAGGGAACAACAAAATTATGTCCTTGGCACTGGCCCCTAATTCAGCCAAGGCTATAATAGCTTCAATGACATAAGGACATTGCCTGCCAAAGAAGAATCCAAAAGAGACATGCTTAATTTTTAGCGAATATCAATAAAAACAAAGATAAAAGCAATAACTATCACACACATCATAAAGAAAGCATTGAGAAAATAGGAATCTGCAAATTAACAGACCTTAAACATTCTCTGTAACAAGTAACAGCACCACGGTTATGTCTAGTATTTCGATAAAGCTTTGCCATCAATAGACTCATTTGTAAATTTCTTGCTTTGCTTGGTATTCCTTCCATCTACAAGTTTAAAGCAATGAAAAATGAGAATTTCCCAAAAATAAATGTGCAAAGAAAAAAAGAAGAGGCTGAACAAAGAATGGGCTTTAAATCAAATTCTTATAAACAAATATTTAGGCATCCAAATTACAAGATCCGCCAAAACAAGTCAACAAAAAGAATCAAACAGATAAATATAGTAAGTTAGAAATGACAAAAACCTCAACAAGGGCCACTTTAGTTTCGCTCAGTGCAAAATGACAAGAAGCAATTTTGAATTTCACCTGTCATGGAAATGAAAGCAAAACTACAATAAGCAATTCAGCTTCAACATTAAAAAATTTCAGCTTACAAGAAAACGAAAAGAGCTCAAAGTTTATTCTAAAGAGGACATACCTCATTTTCATTTATTGCTGAAATGTTAAAGGAATTTGGAGAAGAAGACCTGTTTGAGGCTGACAATGAACTTCTAGAAGTTGCCGAATTTTGCTTCTTGTAATACTGCAAGCCTTGTTTGTATGTATGCTGAAAGCATATAGGGAAAAAAGCCAAAAAAAAAAAAAAAAAAAGCAATTCCAAGTTTTTTACTGTATCAATCTCCTCCGAAAATCTAAGCACTCTAGCACGTTAATAACATTTTCTACATAAATCATGTGAGTTTTACAATACCTAATAGCATGATTCGGTAACTCTTTCCTACGATGATAATTCGAGATTTTTTTTAAATAACGACATAAAAAAGATAAAAATAAAAATGATATGAAACTATTTGAAACTTTTAAAAATTATAAAAATTTAGCAGCAATGAAAAAAATGAAGAAATTCAAATTCATGACTGAAGGTGTCCATTCATATAAAAAAAATCAAAAATTACAAAAAAATTGAGCTTACAATTGCTCTACGATACTCTCTCTCCCGAAACAAAGCATCGCCAAGAAGAATCTGCAGAAATACACAAGAGAGAAAAAAAATAAAAATCACTTAATATCACTTAATATTTAAAATTCATTTAAAAGAAAATAAAAGAAGAGGCAAACTATTAGAACAAATCGAGACCAGATTTTCAGCCTTGAGATGTGGACTGGTTTCGGCATTAACGGTAGATGATGAAACAAGAAACGAACCCTGTTCAAACCAAACAAAAAAAATCAATTAGTGAGGTAAAATTTAAATTCGGTTTATTTTAATTATAATAATTAATACAAAGAGAGAAAGAGAAGATTACGAGAAGCTGAGCGGAGCCAAAGAGAGCATTATCGAGAAGAGCAGCGATTTGCTCCTTGGGGACGTCCATTAAAGAGCAGCAGAAACAGTGAGGTTTTTCCTTTGCAGTCGGGATTTTTTTTTTTTTTGTTACGATAAAAAGAAATATTGACAGGACGTAATTGAAATTTTGCCCAAAGAACCCGCCCCGTTTTTTAAAATTTAAAACCCCACTTATGCCCCTTAAAAAATACGCTTCCTTATACGATATTACTTACCATTCTTTATAAAATATAAAACCTTAGTTGAAAAATTTTATGCATGTAATATTTTATTTAGTCAAATTTAATAATAAAAAATTTAAAAATAAATTAATTTTTTAAAAAAGATAATTATATTTTAATTATTTTTAATATTTATTTAAATAATTAATCTTTTTATTTGTTTCATATGATGGGTGTGCATATGATTACGTATTTTTTAAAAAAATTAGGAAAAAATTAAAACATGATATACTACAGAATTTTCCCTTTTTTCTTTTTAAAAATAAAAAGCAAATTAAATTACAAAAATATTACCCATACTGTATTTGGAATTAGTGGAAGTGTATGCATATTGAAAAATTCTATTTACACTTCGTTACTAAATATATATCACTTTCAAAATAAAAATTTTTATTTTTTTAAATACATCATATCTAATAAAATTATATTTCATTTCATACCTTTTTTATTTTCTTCTTCATTATCTCACTTTCAATCTAAATTTAATCCAAATTTAACCCAAAAATTATCAAATCAACATTTAAATTATAAGTTATTTGAGTATTTCATTGATTGCAGATAAGATTTTGACATGTTTATTGATTAATTTGATTTAAATTAATGCAAAAGTTGTCTAAAGTTTATAAAGATATTTTGTTGAGTTTTAATTTCTCAATAATAAATTTATGAAAATTTTTTCTTAAAAATAGATTTTTGAAAAGCTTTTATAGCTCTCAAAATTGAATTTATGAGAGTTTTAAAGACTTTGAAATTTTAAATTTATTTTGGAAAATTTTAAAGATTTTTTAAAAATAAAGTTTTTAATTTTAAAATTTTTAAAAATAAAATTTCGAAAATTTACGCAAAAAGTCATTTTCATGGGCTTTAAAGTTAAAGTGTATAAAAGATAAAATTTTTATTTAAAATTGATATGTGAGTATTTTTGAAAAAAAAAAAAAGTGAAAATGTAAAAAGAATTTTTTACGATGAATTTAGAAGCCATCATGCATTCTTTTGGACTTCATTTGACATCTATAATTTCTAGAATTTAGCCTTTATAAAAACCAAAAGAAAAATGTAGTAATTTACAATTTTAACAATCTTTTGGCCAAACTCTAATTAAGAGAAAAATATAAAATTAATAAAAAATCAAAGTTTTTCCTAAAACTTTTTGTTTTCATGGTTTAGCCTTTGTTTATCGCGACGGCTACAACCGACTTTCAGCGACTACGTAAAAACCACTCTCAGAGAACTTCTTTCTTTGTCGTCTTTTCTTTCTCCAATGGATTCAACATCGTCTTCAGCAAAACCATCGGACAAATCGAAGATCGAGAAATTCATGCGGAGGGTAATTTCGCCTGCAATCGTCGGCAAAACGTGTCCGATATGCCTGAGAAACCTCGTCGCTCGCCGAACGGCGGTTCTTACAGTTTGTTCACACGCATACTGCTTGGAGTGCATTTGCAAGTGGAGCGATTTGAAAAGGAAGTGCCCTCTCTGCAATTCCACCTTCGATTCCTGGTTCTACAAAATCGATCTCTCCTCTCCGAAATTCCTCAAACAGCAATTACCAGCTCCCCGCGAGGGCAAACCGGTCATTCCGCTACCTCGGTCCACCGTAACTAATCGTCGACGGTAAACCTTTTTCTCGTATTAATTTGATTATTAGGTTATACTTATATATATATATTTATTTATTTATTTTCCAATTTGTTTAGGGTTATTGAAAGAACAAGGGAAGAACTGAACAGTGTTAACTGGAGAACGAGGCAGTTGCCTTGGCGACGATCATTTGGGAGGCGAGGGACCGTGGCGCCTCATGTTGTCGCCGAAAGGAAGCTTCAATGGCGTGCCAGGTAGGTTCCTTGGATAATATTTACAATTTAGTTAAAGCAAAGCCTATCTGTTTATATGCTTATGTCAATGAGAGTTACTCCAATTATGGGAAAATGGCTGATGGGAAATTTGGGTTTCTTTCAGTGTGTATAACCGACGGTTGCAAGCCGTGCCTATATCTCCTAGGATTAGTTCTCAGCAGGTAAGCTCATTGAGACATGGTTTAGTTCTTTGGGGTTTGCAGTTTTGCTTGATTGGCACCTTAGTCTAGCAGGGAAGGGTTAGTTGGATCGTTTTGATATGTATTATCTTTTGGCTTTCAGAATATACCCAGGAATGATTTTGAGAAAGAGAAAATTCTGCAAAGAATAGAACCGTGGATTCGAAGGGAGCTTGAGGCTATCCTTGGTGATCCAGATCCATCAATCATTCTTCATGTTGTTTCCTCACTTTTCTTTTCAAGACATCAAGGAAAATATGATAGCTCTTCAGGACAGCTTGGTATCGAACACGATTTTCTTGCTCCTTTGAAACCTTTCTTGCATGATCGAACCAACATGTTTTGGCATGAACTCAGGTGAATTATACACCTTTGCTTGCGTTCTTAACTTTTGCTAGTTTGCTGGAAGATTTCCTTTATTTGTCATTTGTCTGATTCTTTGCTATTATTAACTTTAAGAAATATACTTCAGATGCTTTGCGGAGAGTTCTTTTACCATCGAAACATATGATGCAGTAGTCGAGTATAGACAGTAGGAGTAGATGCTTAGCAAAGTTGCGTCTTGTTTTAACTGATATCTCATCCCGCACCCTTTTCCATGAGCTGGCATGCCATATCTGGGGCTTAAGAGATCAGTTCTTTCACAGCTTGTTATGGTGGATAGTTGTCTATTACTTGGGGCTTTGCTTGAACTTCTCAGTAGTCTGCTTATGGCTGCCCTATCAGTTGCGTAAGCAATCATGTAACATGACTCAGCTTAGTGAGTGAAGGATTAATCAAAAAATTTGGAAGCTGTGATTTACCCGAGAGAAGAAACTTGGTCAGTACAATCTTTTTGCTTGAAGTTGAGAGAAGAACCAAGAAGCAGGCGAAGAGATGAGAGATTAAGCATGTTTGTCAGATATGGGGCGGGCTTGGTGCCAACCAACATATTCTTGTAAATGTTTCGTTGGCACAGTTTATCATATTTTGATTCCCTATCATTCAACATTCCTGTGAAATGATTTGCAATTATGAAGTAATTTATACAACAATTTTGCTATTTAATGCTGTAGATTGTAATTTGATGAAATGCGTTACAGATTTTATGACAACCTGATACAAGTACGATGAAGATCAAACTAATGCAATCTTGTAAGCAATTGAATCGAATTTCATAAGCATTTGTTTTGGTACAGACAAACTTTCCTATCATACAATCTTGCAAAACGCAGCAATGCAATGAAATAATACATCTCGCAAGATCTACAAGTGCCTTTCACAAACAGGTTTTTGTTAGTACAAGCAGCATTTTGATCAGACATGCAATCATGATTCTTCCTCTGGCTCTTCTTCGTCTTGGAGAAGATTTTCCCTGTTATCATGAGCCCAAAATCCTCGCACATCTATGACCATGCTGGCCACGGTCCCACCCTGTTTACATGCCAGGAGGTCAGCCAGTGTGATCCTCAGTGGATCAACTGGCTTGACCATGTCCCATATTTCATCCCTCACATCCTCGATGCATAATTCATAGTTGCCCCCTTCAATCCATTTCTGGTGTACATCTCTGTTTCAAGAGTAGAATAAGAATTTCTTTCAGATGAATTCTTATAAAGTTGGTAAATGTTAAAATAAATCAGTAATCCTCTGTCAATGAAGATCAGAATTTCAAGTCCAAAGCTAATCTAGGGTTCAACATTCATGTCTCTGGAGATGCGAGACTTGCAGAAACTTGCTCAAGTACTACAAGGAAACTACAGAGTTTTTTATAGGAAGATTGTATCAGGAAACATCTCATCTCTTTGATGCCCCCCTTCTTCACTTCCATGTTTCAAGATGTGTATGATAGCTCAGGAGAGGAAATAAAACTCTTAGCTCTTAGCGACAGGTCAAAAGCACCTAATAAAGATTGGAACCATAATAGTCAAAATAAAACTTCTACTTTAATATATGAAGAGGTCTTTACCTGAAAAGCGAATGAATATCTGCTGTTGTGAGGAATCCCCTACCATGAAGATCGAGACAACGAAATAAATATGTTAACCCTTCTGGGGTGTCTTTGTTCTCAAGGGCCAGAACAAAGTCAAGAAAACTTTCAAAATCCATCTCTCGATTATTTCCAGCACCAGTTTTGCCACGGCGAACATGCTCATCGAATACTATTGGAGGCATAAGAAATGCAAAATAAATTAGTAGAAAAACTACAAAACCAATCCACAATAGCAGTAAGTTTACAACTTCTAAATAACACCAGAAGGAGAGAAACTCAAATGATGCTTCTGAGTAAAAGAAGATATATGATGGGTTTACTGAGCATCCCAAAGTTTAACTCCATTTTTTGTTTTAAAGAACAGCTTTTAAGGTAACAACTACCCATGAGAATTAAACATATGAAATCCTGGTATACTTTGAAAAAAAAAAACATAAAAAATAGTCTTATATTCCACCTCTTTCAATGAAAATTTCAGTTAGAGTTCCTTCTGCATATTCTTTAAGCTCCTGCTTACTCAGTGTTCCATTCATATCCTTGTCAAGGGCAAGAAACATATCTACAGAAGAAAGCGTTTAGTTAGTTCAATATTATTTCATATATAGTTCTCATGCTTAAGCGGTTTCCAAATAGCAAGAAAGAAACCTCATTTCAAACAACGGGAAGCATAAGAAGTTGCAATTTATGACCCACCATTCCATCAGAGGTTGTTTGTATATGTTCTAAAGAGCAGATAAACTAAAACAATAAAGATAGAGGGCAATTTCTACCAAAACTGAAAGTGTTCGAAGCACTCACCACATATGCGTTGTGCAGATGTCAAGGAAAACCAATTTTCAGCTTGCTCCGTGTCAGTGACTTCTTCCTCACTTTCCTACACAGAATTTTAAAGAGGGAAAAGAAAAAGAATTTAAAATAAGAAATAATTTGTCAAACCTAAGTCAAAAAGGATGGTATATCTATGATACATATTCATCAATAATGTACCTGATGTAGTTCCATCAATTCCTGGAGACAGTTGCTAAGCAACACCTTCTTTATGCAAGCTTTTCCTGAAAGAAATACTTAAAGCTGACTATTTGAATAGCACAGTGGAAGCAATAAAACTAGTTAAAATTGATAAGATATGAACTCCATGTTGGTAAGAAAATTTGGACATGCAGACCTCGTCTATGAGGATCGCAAAAGAAAAAGAATTTGTGTGCAGCAATGCGACAGTACATTTGAACAAAGGCATCAGGCATATCCCGTAGTTGTGCCAGATTAGGAATAAGACCACGGATATAGGCCTCCATTTCCTGTACAATAGAAACGTAGTAATAGTTCTTACAAATGAGAAATGGTGAAAAACAAACTGTTAGTGGAGTGGTAGTAAATCCAAACAGAGATCACATGGTGAAAGATCATTTAAATACTTGAATGCTTCAAGAAGCAAAGAATCCTTACATGGGGTTGGAGGAAACCATCTGAATCTTCATCAAGCTCACTCATATCTATTCTGGCCTGTGTTAGAGAAACCTGAAGAAAAACAAATAGTAAACAGCAGTCAAGAAACCACTTCCATGATAAGAATAAATTAAAAAATAAAAGTAGATGATATACAGGTTTCTTCAACATTATGGTTTTTGGACTGACATTTTTAGTTAACAAAGCCACAATCGATAAGGAACTGATCTTAATACTTGCACATAATTAAGAAAGATTGCAAATTATAATAAAAATTAGTAACATTTTGAAATATTACAGAAATAAATAAAGACTCACTGTGCGCATCACATAAAGATAGAAGGGCAAAATGGCGATTCTTCCTGACTCATCTTTCTCAAACTTCATGAAGTTTGATGGGCTGAAGAAGCGTCGACATTTTGGACCTATTTGTTCTGTACATACAGAGGCAATGTGGCAAAAGTCCTCATAGTTCATCTGCAATTTCAAAGCATGAGTCAAGCTGTGAACACAGCTGAGACAAGTATAATTTCACAATTGTGAATAACAAATTACAAGTAGCTCAGCATTTTCAATTCCCTACAGCAAATCATTGAAATGAAGGAGAATATGATGACTGAGAATATAGACCTTTTCAGCACCAGTGGCATCATCGATAACACAATTTTCTCTTAAGCAAACCCACATGGCATCCAGATCATCAGCATTTAGCAAAAGATCAGATTGCTTCTGCAATGAAGAATTAAGAATGTGAGCAATGACTAAATTGGAGCAGTAGACGATTAGGAACTAAAACAAACTGTCAAAGAAAAAACCAATTCTACCTTTAAAAATCGATATTTCGCTAGCCTCTGAACCCTATGACTGATGGATCCTTCTTCAGGCTTCTGAACCAAGCACAAACACAATAAAAAAAAAAAAAAAGAAAACTGAGTTCATGATAATTGGGGGATTGAAAAGTAACAAAAAAAGATAATTAGGTGCATGCCTTCTTATAGAAACTTGGTATTGTACCAGCTTCAGCACTTTTCTGCTGCTTCTCTTTAAATATATCAAGCAAGATTCTCTTTGTCTCAAGCTCTACAACAGATAGAAACAACACATAAAAACAGAATTGCTAACAAGGAAACAAACATAGATCTCAATAATACGAAGTAAAACTATTTCATCCGCATTTCAACCAGAAATGTAAACATGTCTGCAGGCAAGCATCAGTAAATAATGCATATATGAACAATTGAAGTATCAACAAGCTAGGATTGCCTTACTACAAAGCTTGTAACAAGAAAAAGACCCAGTTCCATAATCTTTCTCAAAGACATAAGCTAGAACCAAGAATTATAACTAAAATTCATATCTCATGAATTCTTTATCTATGCTTATCAATTCAGACACTCAAAATTAAGTAAGAAGACCCTCAAATTTATAGTCTAAACCCATAGTAATCACAATTAAGCAAAATCACAAAAAGTTCAAACACTATAAGCCTACATTTCAGTAAAGGAGAGAAACTTAGAATGTAGATTTTGAAACGTATAAATGAAATAACAAAAGGATAGAATTAAAGAAAAGAAGGGGAGAGAGAGACTAGAGAAACGGACCCATTAGAGCTTCGGATCCGAGTCCGTCGCCAGATCCGATGTACCGGCGAAGATTTCGGACCCAAAGCATCGACGAAGCTGGTGGTATCTTCCGTTGCGTGGCGGCCTCGTGGCTCTCACCATCACTGGACCCACTGTACATGGCTGAGTTGACTCGCACCCAGTTCGATTTTCGATTTAAATTTCTAACTCTGAATTAAAAAAAAAAAATGGAGATTAAACTCCAAAACCCTAGCTCTTCAGTTTCTCTGATGTGTGTAAAAACAATTGCTGTGGTGGAGAAAAGTGCTTCACTTTCTTTTTCTAATTTTCTGTTTTTTTTTTAATGTAATTTACAGAAATTGAAAGGGCTTCCCCTAAACTTTCTATATTTATAAATTTTTCCCATAAGTTTTTTGAAATGCTGCGTTTTGCCTGTAAGTTTCTAAATAGTACGATCTTAATGAATTTTTCCGGTCACCTATCTTTTTTTGTCACATAGTTTAAAATATGTTTCTTCAATGCAATAAAAAGATATAATTTTTTAGAAAGTCCAAAGAGAAAGATATTTGAAAATTGTATCTTAATTTTAGGAAATAATTATAATTGAGCAAAATTTAAAATATTAAAAAAATAAAATAAGTCATGAAACTTTCCAATGTATTTTAATTTATTTAAATAAGAAAATTTTAAATATTTATATTAAATTAATTATATTTTTATTAATAAAAACAAATTAAATTCTTAATTTTAATATCATATCTAATTTCTAATGATTGCAAGTAAAAAAAAAAAAACAATTTTAAATAGATACCACAATGAGTAACACAAAGAATAGTTGTTGCCATTTGGTTTTTCTTATAACAACCAAATGAACTAACCAATTCATTAATGACTGATTGTCACTCCAACTCAAATTGTTTTTAAATGTTTCCTTATTATCAAAATAAATAAAATACCATCGTCACTAAAACATGGTTTATAAGTCTCATTTGATTGATATATTTAATTTTTTTATAACAAATGAATAATAATAAGAAATAAAAATATCAACCAAACAAAACCTTAGTTAATTTATATGAATCAACATGCATATAGATATTAACCTACATATTTTTTTTCACAAGGTAACTAATTAATTTATCTTATGTTTTTTTTTTTAAGTATTTTTATAAATCAATTAAATTAAGTCTTGAAGTTTAGATAATCTATATGTAATTTTTGTAAATATTGAGAATGGCATTTTTGGTAAAAGCTATTGAGAAGAAATGATGTGATGTAGCAATCAAATATGAAACAAAGTTGGAAGGAAAAGATACTTTTCAAGCTGAGTTGGATTGAAAGCTCCACCCTCTGATCGCAGATCCCAGTCTCAGTCCCTTTGGATTTTATTATAAATGCAGACAATTCATAACAGAATTTGTTCTCTTATTTTTTTAATAGCTTTTAGACTAGGCAGAAGTATCAAGGAAGTACTTGGACATTGAAAAATAATTTCCACTTGTCTTCATTCAACAATGAAAAAAAAAAAAAAATTTTTTTTGCCTGAATGTTGTGTTCATAGGGAGAAATTTGATCAAGTAATAACAAAAATGTCAGTTTCCATTTCCAAATTCATCAACAAGCTTTTAATAATGAACATCATTTTGGAATTTGAACCTCAAAACTTGATTTTTGTCACTCTAATTTCATGTCCTTTTTGGTGCTTTTATTGGGTTTTTTTTTTTTTTTTCTTTTCCTTTTGGCAGAAGATGAGTAGAAAAGATACTTAATAGTGTAAAAGCATATGACATGAAGCTTATAAGGCCAACTGATTTGTATCTTCTTGTAATGATATATGTTAAGGTAACAAACTAACACACTTCTGTTAGAAAAGATTACTTTTCTGACATGATGATTACCTTTGTCATTTTCATTTTTAATGGGTGTTTTTCTTTCAGCTGGATTGAGAAAAAAAAAAAATTTTTTTTTTTGGTAAGGAGAAAATTTGAACAATGTGTATAGAAAACCAAAATCAAACTTGGGTTTTTCATCAAAGTTTAAAAGAGTCTGATTTCAGGATTCTCAATCTTGAGCCTGAAGGATTTTTTATCTTCTTTAACAAGAAAAGAGCAATGATACCAATTTGTTAGGTGCAACGAAAGTTCTAATACCATATTGTTGGCAAAATTAGACTGAACGGTAGCGATCCTAAGTCAAAGATTATATACAATCCAAGAATGGTTAAATCTTACGTAGTTTAACACATTTTAAGGACCACAAGATGTAGAATTAAATCTTCCTGGTCTTGGCTCATTCATCATGTAACTATACCTAAAATGGTCCCCTAGCAGAAGATCTTATTGGCATTCCAAGGCATATATATGTAATGATGGTGTAACTCTCACTCCGTTCATTGGGACTGATCAATGACCACAAGAGAAATCGAATGGCGATTCATGATCAGCAGAGTGGTTTTAATGGATGTGAAATAGTTTTGGTTTGGTTAGTTTAGGGCTGATACCAAAGAGAAGGACCATGAATGAAGTTAAAGAATTCCAATCTGATCAGCACAAAGGTTATGCACTAATATCAAGGTTAGGTAGCTGCCAAAGTCTGAGACAACATATTTGTCTGAGAAATCTACCATTGCTAACAAAACTTCCCCTGTGATTTTCTCCATGGTCCGTATCTGACATTGGCCGATTTGTACTCAGCTCACAATTAAACCTGCAGAAACAGACAATCTTATTCAACCAATCTCCATATGCTTTCCAACCCAACACAAAACACAACAAATAGATGAAAAAGAACAAAATAAATAAATGAGAGAAAGAGCAGAGAGCTTTATACAGCTCAAAACCTTCCCCACCTTATGATCACAGCTCAACCATATGCAGAAGAAAATAAAAACTACATACAAATGCAGTCATAAAGAGAGGATAATCAAGTTAACTGATATTGCCAAAGCTGATAATGTTCAGTCTTTAAGAAATAAAGTCAAGAATATTGGCAAGCATGGAAACTGAGAGCCTGTTATACTTGCTGTGGTAATGTCTTGTTTGTGCAGCTGTCAATGACCCCATCTATGGAAGAGTCCCATCTCTCGGTACAAAAATAGGTATCCCTTCTTGTCTTTCCAGATAAGATGACAGAAAAGAGGCAAAAAGGAAAGTTAAGAGTTAATTCAGGGAAGAGACTTGAATTTGATATACTGATAACTACCTTTTTCTTTTGATCCCCCTTCAATAATTATGTCTTCCAGTGCCTGTCTAATTAAAGTCACTTTCTTTCCCGTCCACATCCACTTAGTAAAATCAAAATATTTACAGTTTGTATATCAACACCCCACATGGGCATTAATTTTACTTCTGGGTCCAAAGATTTCACCTTCTCTTTTACTTGACAGAAGTTCTTGCCATAAATCAAAACTCTTGGTTCAGCTATTGGCACTTTAGGTTTGAGTTAAGAGTCTAAAAGGTTAGAAGAATCAACGCCAAATATGTACCAACAATAAGTCTATCAGCATTAAGGTATAGGGCAATAACTTCTGGTTTGAGCTTTTATATTTGTTTTCAAGATCACCCTCCACTCCCACGAAAGCAAATAGGAAAAAAAAAAAAAAGAAAGAGGTTTGAAAGGACAGGATAGTCTTCAGTGACATGGCTTCTCCATTGTCACGTTGATGAGATGCTTAACATTGGACAGAAATGTGGGGTACTCTGACAAGCAAATGAGTTGTCTTACGATCTCTTATTCATATTTCAGCAGCATGGAACCTTACCAAATATCAGTTTCCCAAGTTTCTACTTAAGATCAGCCAGCTTGCTTTCTGAATACTTTTCGGCACCAAAAGTGTACTAGGAATATTGGCAATGCTCAAATGCCTATTTAAATAAAGTTAAGTCATAAGGACCACCTGATCTCTGGTTCCTGTAGAAGGTAATGAATGTTGAGTTCCTAAATCTGAAAACTAGTCTTCAGTTTCACAATTATATAATTGGATTATCTATGTGTTATTCTACACCTTTTGATTGCTAAGCTTTGCTTGCTTAAATATTTAGGTTTATCTTTTTATGGTTCTTCAGTATCACGGATTCAATGATCAAGTCAACAGAAGATGTCAAAGATTGCAACTATAGTTGGAGGAGCTGCTGGGGCACTTGTATTCGTGGCTGTAGCCATGGGATTCTTTTGGTTTTACAAATCATGTAAGAACTTTTCAAATAGAACTTCGGAGACAGGCTCTTCGGATCCATCCGCATTAAGTAAGGTTTCATTGCAACAAACGTGAAAAAAAAAAAAAACACTGTAGCAATTCAGTCTAAAGTTTTTGAGTTAATATTTTACTAACTACAGCTCCAACACTGCAGTGGAGTGGAATAGAGGAGCCGGACCAAGTTCAAGTGCTGGCCAATCTTTATATGGACCTCAAGGAGCGAGGCAGTTCATACTGGAAGAGTTGGAACAAGCTACCAAGCAATTTGCTGACAGTAATCTCATCGGATGTGGCAGTTTCGGTCCGGTATATAAAGGTTTGCTTCGTGACATTGTTGTGGCTATCAAAAGACATCCTGGTGCTCCTCGACAGGAGGTCGTTGCAGGGGTATAAACTGTTCTGACTTATATAGCTGATGTCTGATAGATATCTTTGTCAAGTGCATTACAAATTGGAAATCCCTCACCCCCTCTTACATGCTTTAACTTTTTCACTTGGTTCATTATGTCAACAGTTAGATCCAAAAAGTCATTCCCCAGGTAATAATGGAAGTTGATTGAGATATGTGATTCTGTTACTTGCAGACAGCTTCTTTTACTTTTTTTTTTTCACTTGATTTATAAGACTGTACAATACAGTTTCATTCTGTTGAACAATTTTCTGGTATTGAACCCTTAATGAAGAAGCTCAACATTATCTTTCTTACAGCTTCAAAATCAGACAATTCCAATAGAAAATGACATATTAGAGTGTCAAACAGGTAATCTATTTGTCAGAGATTCAACATCGAAATTTGGTTACTCTTCTAGGTTACTGCCAAGAAGGTGGATCTCAAATGTTGGTCTATGAGTATTTACCAAACGGGAGCATGTGCAATCATCTATATGGTATGACTCATTTAACAACATAGATTTTTCATGATCATTAATGCAAAAAAAATAAATAATAAAAATAAACACATCCATCTGTTGTTTGGCAGATACCGGACGAGAGGCTCCAACTAGACTGGAGTTCAAGCTGAGGCTATCGATAGCTCTGGGGGCAGCTAGAGGTGAATCTAAAAGAAATTGATGAAGGAAACCTAGAGTAAAACATGTTTCAAATTGAGGAATTATGTTTATTGAATGCAGGTTTATGCCATTTGCATGGCCTGAAACCTCCCTTGATACACAAGAACTTTAAAACAGCCAATGTCTTGGTTGATGAGGACTTCATTGCTAAGGTTGCAGATGCAGGGGTCTCAATGTTACTTGAAAAGATAGAAGAAGCAGGTCCATCTCAAACGTCTAGCATCAATGTTTTCCAAGATCCAGAGTAAATTGATTTCTTCTGATTGCATTTTGTTTCTGTTGTGGAAAGAACAATCTTCACCTATACTTAGTTTATCCTGTGCATCGATGTCAGGGTGGAAGTATCAGGGAGCTTTACAGAAATGAGTGATGTCTACAGCTTCGGGGTGTTTCTTTTGGAGCTCATAACTGGACAGGAGGAGGCTGTGCATATCAATTACCTAGGATCCAATGAAAGCTTAATCCAATGGGTAAGCAGGCTAGTATACTTGGTTTACAAGGGGAATTTTCATTCATTTTTGGAGTCATAAACACAGATCAAAGGAATTAACCAAAGAATATCTTATACTTGATCCTAATGGTTTGTGTTTTTTCTACTCTTACTTTTAAGCATTCACCATCTCAATTCTGTAACTTTTGTTCAACTGCTTCACTAATTGAAGGTACAATCACGGCTGAGTTCCAATGATTTTGTGGACCATCGACTAGTTGGAAGCTTCACCATGGATGGCATTAGGGATTTGATCAAGCTGACACTAAAATGCATGAGTTTTCCGGGAAAGGGACGGCCGAATATGAACATGGTTGTGGTTGAGCTAGAGAGGATCCATGAAAAAGAGATGGAACTGACAACAGTCAGGGGTGAGGGCACTGCAAAAATCACTCTAGGCAGTGAGCTATTTGGTTCGAAATAAAGAGGATTCCAATGGAGTTTGTCAGTCCTTGGCCAAGCTTAGGCTTACAAAAAGTTAAAAAAAAACCACTTGAACTGTTTATAAGGTAATGAGAGAAAGAGAATGGGAGGGGGGTTAGCCGGGTAGGGTGTCAAGCTGCTGTAAAGAAATGGAAATGTAATTATGGATCTGATTTTTCAAATGATGCATAATAAATCTGTAATATTAATATATCAATCAATTATGAACTTTTCTAGTGAATTTATCCATCAACTAGACAAGTCATTTACAAGAATCGCAAGAACAAGATTGAGTACTGCTCATGATAAGAATCATACAAGCTGAAAACATCAAAAAGAGAAGACCAGCCAATCAATTCCATAGCAAATTTAGGTAGGAAATTCTCCATAATTATCATAATCAGCAATGAGAGAGTCATCAATGCAAACAGAAAAGAAAGTACTATAACTAAGTATGTTAAGTAACGTAACAGATGATTCAAATACATGCATGGTGTTTAAGAGATAGCTTTCATACTCTAGATTGACATCTCATTCTAATGTCTTAATCACTCTGCCAGCTTTGTCTTTGTTTTGTGCGTAGATGCCTCCAAAAGCTCCTGGCTATAGTACATTTGCAACAATTTCTTCCCCTTGTTCCAGATCCTGTAAAAGAAGCATCAGGACAACAGCAAGTAATTAAGCTATTTGAGCCAATAAAAGAAAAAACATAACGATGCCAAACGATAGAATTAGGTAAATATGTTTGATATACTCTCATAGGACTATTAAGATGCTGATCAGAAAGGTAAAAGTTCCTAAACAAGGACCAAAAATTCTCAGTGACTTAATAACAAACAACTAAATCATGCATAGTGGTAATTGTTTTCCTGTTGGTCATGTCTATACATTTGTCAAAGCTATGATGCATGTCATATACAAAATAAGCATAACAATTTTTTACAAAAGACAATTTCCCGGAATAAAATTGCTGCTTAGGACATGATAATACAACTTCACTTTTCGGGTGAAATCACCATAGAAACTGGGGTTGCTGGTCCATTTAGATGAGTGACCAGGAAGAAGGTTTGCTCAAAGGGATCCTAGCAAATAAAGGTGAACTAAATGGTGCTCATATGGCCCTGCCTGTCTCATAATGCTAAAAGTGATTCTGGGTGCAAGCAGATCAAATCACCCCAGCCGATAGACGATAAAGACAATGATTATGACAAACCTTCCCCCCCACCTTGCATTTCATTTGTAAGCATGGGGACCATGTGCCAAGATTCTTCAAAACCACTTCAGGTGATAATTTTGAAATGACTCGACAGGTGAATCGGTAGTGAATCCTTGTAAGCTACATCCTTGATCAATTACAGTTTTCGGTGAAAGAAGAAAAGGTGCTTTTTCCTCTAAGTGAAAGGAAAAGGTAAATGAGCAGAACTTGAACATAAAGAAGAAAAGTCTTGATTGGATATAACAAATTTGAAAGTAAATGAGATTTAAAAGTTTTTAGATGGACAAAATGGACAAGTGGATGCTTCCATAACCCTCAAACTTCAACCAAAACACAAAACTGTTGATTCTCCGTCATAGACCATACAATATACAATCACAATATGGAATCACTGTATTGGCAAAGCTTTGATTAAACCTTTTATAACCTCACATTCATTCCGTTTTTTTCAACTTTGAACACCAATATTCGGAATTGCTTATCAATTGTACTTCCTGCTGCTTTTCAGCAAATTCAGCTTCCCCATATATCACCAATAATTATAGACTGTCTCAAACAGGAATCACCTAGAACCAAACATAAAACCAAACGATTGCTAAGCTACTTTGCCCCCACAAGATAGCTTGTCCCGTCTTTGTCCAGCGAAGATCCGCTACAATTAAGGGCGGAAGGGGTCCATAAAGATTTTACATTACCCTACTAAAATCCCTTTCTTTTTTATCATTTTCCAGCAAAGTTAATTTTACTGATACATATCCACTCATCACAGATATATTGATATACCACATTCACCACAGTGACAACAAATCTGATCATTGCAATTTGCATTACTTATATACAACATGCAAAAATATCAACATAAAAATAAAACACAACCTAGGAATTCTAACAAGAATAAAACTGTACAATCAAACCCAGATGATAAAAGTGAAAGATTCATGAACAACAGTTACAGACAAGATTTTCTGAGCTGAAAGATATAGATAATAATTATGTAACTAAACAAAAACGAATAAAAAGCTTCAAAATTCTTAAGACATAAATGAAGTAAGTAAATGGTACCTGAAGCCTGAGGAGCAAAGACAAGAAGTGGTAGTTAAACTGTCAAAGAGAACTGACAGAACAGAACTCAACATCTGTACTACTGTTTTTTTTTCCCGTATTTGGTTTTGGGTTTTTACACCTTGGCCATTTACTTTATGATTATTAAATTTATGACCACATGTTTTCATATGTATGCAATTTATGCACTTTTCTTGCAAGTTTTTGTTCATTGAAACCCTACCTTGTTCACTTGACAACTTGCTACGTTCCACTGCCAACTGCATCAAAGTCTGTATGGTGTATTCATTGGACATTTCTCTTACAAGTTTTTATGCATATGAATCATAAAAACATGAAGTTTTCCTATAAATCACATACAATTGTTTGATGTTGGGATGTAAAATTTATTCTATGATGTCAGAGTTTCTCATTATTTATAGTTAATAAAAGAAAAAAAAAGTATTTTTCTTATCAATTAAGTTTCGATTTTTAGAATTATTTTGAAAATAAAATTGTGAATGCATCATATCGACGTAGGTAGTGTATCTTACAAGATAATTAGACTTTGACAAAATTTAGAGATACATTAACTGCATTAAAATAAAAAATTGTAAGTTTTATTGTAGATTCAATAATTTTATTTACGTATAATCTATAAAAATAAGAAGGGAGCCTTAGTGCAATACTAAGATTGCTGTAATGTGATTTAGAGGTTACGAGTTTGAGTTACAGAAATAATCTTTTATGACAATATAGGGTAAAGCTAAGTACATTAAATTCAGTGAATCCAATTCTTCTTCGGATCCCATATATGATGGAAACTTTACGCATTGGCCTGCCTGTGTTTTAATGTGTAATCTATAAAAATATATACAAATAATTTTTTAAACCGATAGAAACAAGCTTATTAAAATAAAAGCTCAAAACAAGTGATCCAACATGGGAAACTGGGCCTTAACCCTTTACTCCAAAATCCAAAATTTGGACAAAGCCCAAAGGGGCAAAAAACACCAACAGCAGTGACACGTGGCGCATAATCAATCTCCATATCCATTTCTTAAACCCTCTTAAAAACCGCTTCAGAAGAATCTTTGCCGTTAACTTTTCATAGTTAAAAAATGGCTTCCATTTCCATATCTACAAGCTTATTTTCTCGACCTCAAGCTCAAGCTTGCTCTAAAACCCAAAATCCTTCCCCTAAAAAGAACCCAAACCCCAAATTCAAACCCAAAAAAGTTAATAAATTCAAGTCTCTCTCTTTACCTCGTGCTCCTCCGCCTGCTTCTTCTTCTTTAGGTGCCCAAGCCACCACTTACACTCGCCTTCCTCCCAAAGAAGATTCCGGTTTCGAATTCGAAGTTCCCTCTTTGAACGAATCCGATGAAATCAAGCTTTCTGATTCTGACATCGCAAAGCTCGCCGTCAAAAATGGTTCGTCTGAAATTGAAGCTGAAATGTTAGTCACCGATGATGATGACGATGATGATGAAGAAAAAGAAGAAGTAAATCAAAGTTTGGGTTTTGAGGACGAAACCCTAGATGGGAATATCATGGGTTTTTATAATGGTGATGAAAGTTTGGACTTTGAGGAGGAAGAAGACGAGGTTTATTATTACGATTCTGATGGCAAGCTCGTAAATTTATCAGGAAACGAGGTTGATGATTTGGAATTGGTGGAAGTAAAGGAGAAAGGGGTGCCGGCGGTTATGCGATGCTTTGACCGAGCCAAAATTTACGTGAAAGCAGGGGATGGTGGGAAAGGAGTGGTGGCGTTTCGTCGCGAAAAGTACGTACCTTTAGGGGGACCATCGGGAGGCGACGGAGGGAGAGGAGGGAATGTGTATTTGGAAGTTGATGGAACAATGAATTCGCTGTTACCGTTTCGGAATAGTGTGCATTTCAGGGCGGGGAGAGGAGCACATGGCCAAGGGAGGATGATGTGTGGAAGGAAAGGAGAGGATGTGGTGGTGAAAGTGGCCCCAGGGACGGTGGTTAGAGAGGCGGGGAATGAGGAGGTTTTGTTGGAGTTGTTGTATCCGGGACAGCGGGCGTTATTGTTGCCTGGTGGGAGAGGTGGGAGAGGAAATGCTTCGTTTAAGTCCGGGAATAATAAGGTTCCTAAGATTGCTGAGAATGGAGAAGAGGGTCCTGAAATGTGAGTTTTCTTTTTTGAACATTACTATATTTTTGGATCATAAATGCATTTTCTTTTTCCTATGTAGCCATCTTATAGTTTTAATTTTTTACATTGCTTGTTTTTGGTTGTTAGTTTATATACTGTGTCATATATTCCTTCCATTCAAACATGAACGAACTAGAGATGTTAATTCGAAAAGAAGGAAAATTGGGTTTTAAGTTCATGTTGTTTTCATGTGCAAAAGTAGTCTGAACCCTGAACTATCAATAAGAATAAGATGCATGCTTCAGAAACCTTATATGTGTGAAAAAGTTTTGAAATTCATGATTTCATAATGTTTACTACCAGAGCAGTTCAAATCTTTTGAACCCATATAGCAGTTTGACAAGGCTTTCTTACATATCATGCAATTTGTTTTTAGTGCCAGTCAAGATCCTACAATGTTCATTCTTTGAACCCACATATTCTTGCCATTCAAACCTGAAAAGACGAGAGATGTCAATTTGACAAATAAGGAAGATTGCTTTTTAAGTTCATGTTGTTCAATGTGCCCAAGTTGTCTGAACTATCAGTAAGGTGCATGCTTCAGAAACCATGTATGATGTGAATAAGTTTTGAATTTCATGATTTCCTAATGTTTACAAGCAGTTCGGTTTTTTTTGAAGCCATATAGTAGTTCAACAAGGCTTTCTTGCATCATGCATTTTGTTTTTAGTGCTCCACTCTGAAACTAAGTGCAGTGCTATCTTGCAGTGGCTGTTTCTTTCTTTCTGCTAATATGCACATTAGCGATGATGGTATTCTTGAGCAGGTGGCTGGAGTTGGAGCTAAAGTTGGTTGCAGATGTTGGAATAGTGGGTGCTCCAAATGCTGGAAAAAGCACCCTTCTGAGTGTGATAAGTGCTGCTCAGCCAGAAATAGCAAATTACCCTTTTACAACTTTACTTCCCAATCTGGGTGTAGTTTCATTTGATTATGATTCTACCATGGTAGTTGCTGATCTTCCTGGTTTACTTGAAGGAGCACACAGGGGCTTTGGCTTAGGTCATGAGTTTCTACGGCACACTGAAAGATGTTCAGCACTGGTACAGACTTCTTGTCTTATAGTGCAGCTACTGTAATCATGCTCATTAAGACTTAATTTGTAACTGCTTCTCTTGCATTATGACAGTTTAAATTCTCTATTGGCTCCTTTAACTATTAAATTTGATCTCCTTTGCTCAGTTTCTGTCAGTTTTATATATTATTAATGTTTTTCACCAAGAAAGAAATGGATGGGATTTATGTTAGATTTTCTACTAGTCTTCTAACTAATAAGGGTAAAGGAAATGGTTTTTCAGGCTGACGAGAATCTGATATTTTCTTTCTGTTTCGTAGGTACATGTTGTTGATGGCTCTGGACAGCAACCGGAACTTGAGTTTGATGCAGTTCGACTTGAGCTTGAATTGTTTAGTCCAGAACTTGCTGAAAAGCCTTATGTAGTTGCCTACAATAAAATGGACCTTCCAGAGGCATATGAGAATTGGCCATCATTTAAGGAAAATCTACAAGGTCGTGGAATTGAAACTTTTTGCATGAGTGCAGTAAAAAGGGAGGGCACTCATGAAGTTATCTGTGCTGCCTACAAACTTCTTCCAAAACCTAAAGAATCCAATGAGGGATTTGAAGGTTAATTTTATTTTAAGTTGATTCTTTAAATTTATTATTGTACACATCCTTAATTATATTTACCAAATTCTAATTGTATTTTATAAATCCTAATCATCCATGAATCCCTTGCATTCATTGTTGACAAGTCCTACCTGTTCTTTAGGTTTTCAAGATCCAGTAGATTTGAACCATGTAGCTGATATGGTAAATAAACAGCGTAGCTCCTCTATAAATGAGTTTGAGATCACTCATGACAGTAGTTGCAATACTTGGCATGTAATTGGAGCTGGGTTGCAACGCTTTGTTCAGATGACAAACTGGCGGTAGGTTAAGAACTCTTATGTTTGATTACAATTCTCTTCTCCTCTCTACTTGTTGTCAATGTCTTTCTGGTGAGTCTATGTTATCATAATTTATCATATTAATATCACTTTGCTGGTACTGCTGAGCCTATTCTGACTTGTTTCATCTCATTCATATCATTTTGTAAAGTGACAAATAAATTTTGGGATATAATACTGAATAGGTGTTATGCTGCATTAAAAACTGTATTTGACTTATAGATTATGCAACCAGCTGGATGGTAAACAGCTCTTTAAAGTTTAGACTTTACTGGTAAATACCTGGAATGGAAGTTTATGGACTTAAGTTAAATCCTCATGTTCTGGCCTTAATCAGCACTTTGGACATGAATATTCTCCCTTATCTAGTCCTTCTTTTCCTATGCTTTCTCTTTTAAATTTCTAGAGGAAGAAGGGTGCAGTAAAATCAGACAAAAAAGCAACCTTTAGTGCAATGCAGAGGATAAATTTTGAATATTTCAAGTCCTCAATATGCATATTTCACTTTGACACCACACATTTTCATGTAATTAATTATAAATGATTCTGTATTCATTGGCCTCGTCAATTGTTCAGTGATTCATTTAAATTTTATCTACATTTTACATTGTAGAACTGAGGTGTAATCCATTTGGTTTTCCATATGTAAATGGATCATATACATTTCTTTGTTGAAAACTCAAATCTTGTTAATTTCAAAAGATGTATGCAGTGACTTTTACAAAAGTTAGTTCTAAACACCGCAAATGGCAACTAAAATGAGTGCCCTCGACCAAAGTATATACTATGTCACTGCATGTTTCTCACTTAAGTTAACTGCTTCAAAGTGAACAGGTGTTACCATTATTCCTTTTGTGATAACATGCCACTCAATTAAACAGATACATAGACTCTGAGAAAAGGTTTCAACATGTCCTGGAGGCTTGTGGAGTGAATAGGTCTCTCATGAAGCTTGGGGTGAAAGAAGGTGACACAGTGATTGTTGGAGAGGTTTGTTAACACTGCCACATATATTGTTATCGATGACATGTTCCATTTTCTTGTGATCCCTCAACCTAGCTATAAATTATCTACTTAAAACACCACCCTTCCCTTCTCCCGTTGCTTCCTTTTTCTTGTAGTTGAACTAGATTAATATTGGTGAAGAAGAATATTTGAGAGAAATTAAAAACCTGGATATATCAAGTCTTTTATCCAATAATTTTATGTTTTGCTTTGTCCTTATCAGATGGAGATGGTGTGGCATGATTCTGCTGAGGATTCTGGTACACCAAACATGAAGAAGAGATCAACGGAGTCAATCAAATGGCCCCAGTGGAAGTAACGGGCGTCTGTAAATTTTGTCAGTAAACTGGCATATTTGGAGGTTTAGCAAAGGTGGGGGAGTGTATATCCACATCAGTTTCAGTGCCTGTTCGTTGCCTGATTTAGTTTTTAACGAATGCGATACTGACTCCACAACATTCACTCTCCAGATAAACCAAATTCATTGCCTGATTTAGTTTTTAACCAATGCCACAAATTCATGAGAGGTGACATGGAGTTTGATGAAATTTGCTGATTGGAGTGCATGATGTTGTTGTTTCTCCATGTTCATATTGCTTCATATTGGTGCAGAAGGACAGGCAAGTTCCTCTCAAATTCGTTGTATGACCTGGATAATGTAATTACAGTTGCAATCTATAGTCTCCAACAGACTTGGAGGCAATGCCTTCATTCTTAAGTAAGTATTTCTTTTTCTCTTAATATTGCATGTAATTCATTCTTATATGAGAGACAGCATTTATGCCTTTAAATATCCAGGTTTTGCATCAAATTTCTTAAATTTTGTGACAGGGCTGAAAATTTGAAATGCAAGGAACTTTTACAAATAAGAAAATAATAAATCTGGTTTCATGAATATCTTATATCATGTACAAATTTCAGAAATAAAAGCCAATTTTGAGTTACAAATTATTTCTATAGGTATTTTCAACCCTAGATAAACCTAGAATTTTGTATGAATCTGAATTATTTTATCATTTCTAATTCATGTACTTGTTCTTAGTTTTTAATAAAGGAAATATATAAAACTAATAAAATTTGAATTTTTTTTAAGGTATAAGTTATAACCATTTCCTGTAAATAACAACAAATTATATATTTTTTCCTACTACAACCATTCAGAAATTTTTTTAACTTGCAAGTACTTAGAAATTGTATTCATTTTCCTTAAAAAAAAGAAATTATATTTATATTTATATAATTATCTCGTATAAAAGTATAACAATATAATATTAAAAATTATTTAATAAATTGCGAGTAAAATTTAAAGAATTAAAGAATTGACATATATTTTTAAAATGTTTTAAAAAATTTTAAAATTAATATAATTAAAATATTACACATGATAATTGTTTAATTTATTTGTGAAATTAAAAAATTTTATGGACGATAAATATGAAATAATAATCCACAATATATATGCTATTTTATTCACAATTTTTTAATTATTATGCCAGAATAGCAAAAGAAAATGAAAATGAAAAAAAAAAAAAAGAGAATTAAAAATCAGTGCAGTGTACCCTTAATTTTTATTTCTTTTTAATAAACAAATTATATTATTAATCTATTATGGTAACCAAAGTAATAACTCTGGGTCTACCGCCCTCATTTGTAATTCCCTATGAAGGAAAGCGAACGGAAGGCGTGTGCATACGGGAGCAAATCACGTGGTGTGTGCCCTAAATCTAGGACAAAGGACAGTGTCACTCTCAGCCGTCCAATCTCAATCAAACCGTTCTCCATGAATCTTTGACCAACCTTCCTTTTCTACCCCCTAGATTCGCTTTCACTGTTTTTCATCATTCTTCCCAGGCTTCGCTCCTGGTTGTCGCTTGCATGCCAACTCGGACAACTCATTCTGTTCTACCAACTCAGTTCTCTCAACTTCCTCTCTGTTCCCATCTCTTTCTTCATCGACCCTCATCTTCCTCAGCTCATCTTTTTATCAGATAACAAGGAGTTATCACGTTTGGAAATGAGTCAACAAAGTGGGTTGACTGAGCTTTATGCCTCCATATTTGGCTTCAATTTTAAACCGGTAAAACGCCATCCCGTTCCATCATTCCGCTGCACGGACGGGTCTTTGCGATCGACATGTCATCGCACAGGATTCCTAGGTTTGTTACGGGATGACATGGCAACAGTGTCCACGTGTCAGATCGTACTTCCTACGTAGTGGTCAGAGTCAAGGTCTGGTTGGCCTTACGAGGTTACGTGGCTGAATATTATTGGTTGACTTGAAAAGAAAGACGCGTGGATTCCGCTTTGTGTTTAACTTACAGTATCTCATAAAATAACACATCACATCCTTTTTATTTTATAAAATTTGCATGTCATATAATATAAAAATATAAAATATAAAATATTAATTTTATTACATTTATAAATAATTATTATAAAAATTTTAAATTATATTATTTTTATATTTTATTTTTATCATGTTATTGTATCATATTTTAAATTATTAAATTTATATTCAAACATTAATATAATTCAAATCTCATTTTCTTATTAGTGAAAAAAAAAGGTAATAATAAACTACAAAATGAAATACTAACAATGATCGAATTTGTGTCAAATTTTTATAGTACTAAGTAATATTATCTGGATAATTAAAATATAAGAATCAATTAATTTTTTTTATATTTCTTGTAACTTTTCAAAAATTAATCTCGTGTTTAATAATATAGTTCGATTTAATGACAACATTTTCATTGCATTGGATTCAATTTGAAAGCTTATGTATCATACCATGTTACAACTAGGCTGTTCAAAAAGAAATATAAAGATAAATTAAATAAATTAAATCAAAAGGCATGAATTTATAGAACCAACACTTCATGATTAACAATTAGACCAAAATAACAAAGACTATGTTGGATAATTAGAGAAAAAAATTATAGGTACTTTTTTTTTAATGAATTAAAATAAACAATATTATATACCATATAATAATGCCTTCATCATCTAAGCTAGAGTAAGAAGAATTGTTTGGTTTCTTTAGGCACTAAAAAAAAATCCAAGCAATATGATTGCTCTAGTGAAAGGCCACGAGTGTGCTTGTTGACTGCTTGACTAGCCAAAGAGGAGCCTAAACCATAAAGTGCCCAAAAAAATCTCACCAAAAATGGGACAAATTTGATGATAACAGCTAGCTATTGATACTAAAATTTTCAAGTCAAAGTCCAAAGTTGTAAGAAAGACACTCTCATCTCTTTTCCCTAAATCCCGGGTTGGCTTTAACGCTAGAAAATGAAAGTGGGTGTTTTTGGAGAATGTGCATAATTCTCAATTTGACCCCTGTAACCCCAAACGGGTCTCTGTTTATTTGTCAAGAAAATGAAGAAAATTTCAAAGAAAATTTCAAAATGGTCGGTTCAATTGGAAAATGATCCTCTTTCTTGATGTAAAAGTTTTGAATTTGAAGTTGACCGATGACCGTTTGTTAAAATTTTTTCAAATGCATAACTTTTAATTATTTATTTTAAATTATTATATATAAAATAATTTTTTTATTTAAAAAATTAAACAATCAATCTAAAATGTTTAAAACTAAAAAAAAGAAAGTGGGTTTTTTTCTTTTGGAAAATGTGCATAATTCTCAATCTGAAACCCAAAACCGCAAATGGGTCTTTGTTTGTTTGTCCAGAAAATGAAGGAAATTACAAAGAAAAAGGTGATGAAATCAAGCAAGGGTTGAGATAACAGAGTGAGGCCCCTACAAACCATCTGATTTCCTAAATTTAAAACAAAAGCCAACCCTTGCATTCCAACTGGCCTCACATCTTTTCAGAAAGATGCTTGACTTATCTTTCTTCTCTTCAAATGGTAACATCCACAAGTAACCTTTCATGCAAGGTAAGGCATGAAAAGGACTTCATTTTCCTTTTCATGGAAGAACAAAAAAAGAATCCTTTTTCTTGGTCTTTTTTGCATGTGTCATTTTGTTCAAAAGGTTCAATTTCTTGGTCTAACCAGAATATGAGGAAAAAAGATGTTTTCCTTGGACCAACCACATAAACATAAATATAATAATTCACTAAATGACCATGAAAGTTCAACTTGGCATACACATATAATTTGGATTTTACCTTCTATACTTAAACTTGTAAATCACTTCAATGCCATGGACCAATGGAGATTTGATCCCAACTAAAGCTTTGGTGCAATGGAAAGGCTTTTCTTGCACCAAAATGTTTCATCAGATGGGATCTTAATCGTAAAATCTAAAAAAAAAAAAAAAAAACTTAATAATTGAAAAGAGAGACAAACTTTTTGCTAATCTTTTATTCAGCTATATATTGGTCCACATGTGATCAAATATTATGATCCCATGTTCTAAATGAACATTGCTCTATTAAGATGGTGTAAAATGAAACTAATCCCACATTTTCTTTTTTATTCAAATCTTTAGTGGAGGAGTCAAGGGTCATAGATTCTACTTGTTTATCTATTGTCATTCTTAAAAGAAATGAAAATGATTAATCAAGTGTTTAAAAACTCAAATAATATTAGTAAAACTTGAGGATGTGCCATTCTCTCTAAGCTCTTATTTTATATGTTCCATCATTTAAATATGCTTGATTTTTTTTTTTTTGTTGTCTATGTAAAATTTATTTGGTCCATTATTCAATTTGGTTTAGGGTATAATAATGACTAGTTGGCAAAGCATTTGTAGAAATGGGAAAATACTAAAAACAAAAAGGGGTTGACCCATTTGATTATGATTAGTTTTTTTGCCATTCCCAAGGCCATCTAGGCATGTGAAACCCAAGTTTAATTGAAATTAAAGAGGAATAGAGTGTTACACTTTCACTGTTGGAACTGCTAAATGCATATACAATTGCTTTTGTTTGGGCAATTTGATCCAACCTTGCTTTAACAATTTGTTCTTTGAGCCCTTAATTTGATTATCCTTTTGACTATAGCCTTTTTTGTTCTTGCTTTTGGGGATATCAGAGACAAAAAAGAGTGAAAGTTCCCCATATTTCTCTAGATCAGACTTTTGCTGAATTTTGAGTTGAAAAGATGATCTGAAAAAGGAAGTTTTTAAGGAGCTTGATAATGTGGAACTGACCCACCATCTTTACCAGCCCCTTTTCTCCAATTTCACCTTCCAAATTCCATCTCCAAGTCATTTAAATGTTGTCTTCATGAGTTTGTTATCCCTTAAAAAACCATATTCAAACACATCTTGTAATCATAAGATTGATAAAACAACATGGCAATCTCAAAAGTATATCTATGTATTTCCAAGGAAGGAGGATTCGAATTATGCTTTTGAATTTCGTTTTTTCAAAAAAAAAATCATATACTAATCATTAAATGAATTAAAATTTAAATTTTATTTTGAACATATAGAAGATGATATAAATAAAGATATGAAATTTAATGCAACCCAACTTACATGAACATACCAATCAAGTCAACTAGCATAGCATTAATGCAACACCATTTTTGTACCTTGAGACCAAGGTCAACCTCTAGAATCAAATTTTTACATAAGGTAATGATAAAGGTGAAAACCATAGATTTTGAAGGCTATATATGATGACAAATAGAAACAAATCAAAGGGTTTTGACTTATGGGTCATTGATGAAAGGACCCTTTGGTTTTTGTATTCTGTTTATGGAATTGTTTCCATGTTAAAGGACAGTAGAGCCATTAAAACAACATCTTCATAATTTTTTGGGCATTTTCTGCTTGGTTAGAGATAATCTTAACTGCTCCCTTTGAAAATAATGAAGCAGACAAAGAACTTCCAAGTAAATTGATTGATTAATTTTGCTCAAAATGCGGATTCACATGTGCATATTTGTGTTGATTACAATTCATACTAAAACTTTAGTAAATTACAAGAAGTTAATCACATTTTTTGTTTGTAGTTGGAAATTCAAGCAGTGGTTTTCCTTTCTGGTTTTTATATACAAGGTTCTTTTCTTCATCCTACCATTCAAGGGTTTTTTTTTCCTCTTACCAACCACTCAATCATACTCTTTTTCGACTTTAAATAGAAAAATCATATATTAATCATTGAATCAAATGCTCACGAAACAAATTTTGACATTCCTATAGGGTTTATTCGAAGCAAAGATTTTTTACTATGAAATTGACAATTTAATTTGTCATTGTTCCATAGCTTAAGATGCTATTAACCTTTCCTTTTCGGGTAGATTAACCTAGTAAATATGGGTTACACGTGACTTGATCATAGGGTGATATTTGTTTTTCTTCTGGTATTGATTTAAACTAACCCCAGTAGCTTACATTGACCTGATGTAATATATGCATCATTAAAGAAATGATAATCCTTATTATAACTATACAATACCTGGTAAAGTTTTGTGTTTTCAATGCAGAAACTAATTAGATATCAGTTTAATTTAATAAGATTTTAGACCACAAATAAAGAATTTGAAAGAAATCAGATACTGCTGTAGTAGTAAGTCTCAAAGAATGGTTAAGAAATAATAATCCTCTGCCACTGTTAAGAGGTAACATCCAACAAATTTCAGCATTTATAATCTCTTTTTTTATTCTTAAGTTCAAGCCCTGTTTTTTTTTTTTGTTTGTAGATTAATCCTGTTAATTATTTGAGCTGCAGGAAGGACTAGAGAATTTAATAGAAATAAGGAAGAAAATACTGTATACAGATTTAAAAATAGGTAGAAAAAGGTAGGGTGGTCTTCCAGGGAATGACAACTACAAATCTACAATGTCCTTTTCTTTCCTCACCATGTTCAATTCACTCTTTAAAAGCCATCCCCTACACTTCCTCACACTTCCATATTCAAAAAAAAAAAAAAACCATCTCTCCCTTTTTCTCCTATCACTGCAATATCCCAGTCTCCCCTATACCTCTCCATAGCAGCATTGTCTTCAGGCTCCACTACTTTTTATAGACATGTCTACCTCAAAAACCTTGGATAAACCTTTTGGATATGAACCTGTTGTTCAAACTCAAGCAGGTTTTGCTCTGCTTCAGAGAAACACATCCCCATCTCAGGCTGGTGAAAGGAGAGGCAGAAGAAAGCAGGCAGAACCTGGGAGGTTTCTTGGAGTTAGGAGGAGGCCATGGGGTAGATATGCTGCTGAAATCAGAGACCCAACAACAAAAGAGAGGCACTGGCTTGGCACATTTGATACAGCTCAAGAAGCAGCTCTTGCTTATGATAGAGCTGCACTTTCCATGAAAGGAACCCAAGCAAGAACAAACTTTATATACTCTGACAACACTACTTTTCATTCTCTTCCGTCTCCTTTTGATGTCCAAGCTCTTTTACCAACTTCACAGGTTCTTACCAGTTCTCAACCCAAACAAGCAACCAATCACTACAGTGAACCACAGCCTGACATTTTCCACAGTAAAACCCCCATCCGCCCTAATAATAATGACCTATCATCATCAGCTGATGAAACTCCCTACGGGTCAATTGATGATAATAGTTTCTTTTTTTCTAGTGATACTAACTCAGGTTACTTGGCCTGCATTGTTCCTGACAACTGCTTGAAGCCTCCTTCCACTCCAACCAGCACACATGTTTCAAACTTTTGCTCCATGAACCAAAACTCCCATGAAAACCAATCACATTCTGATAATTATGCTCTTTATCCAGATATAACAAGCTTTCCCAATTCTAATAACATTGAGTTTCCAGGTTTTGATGAACTCAATCAGGGTAGTTTTTGGAGTGATCAGCAATCATGGGAAATGAACTCCAATGAACTCTCAGGTATAATCAACCCCCCATTGATGGTTGAAGATGGCTGCATGGGAGGAGCTTTTTATCCTTACAATGGCAATCCTAGCAGCTACACCATGATTCCACAAGCCAATTCTTCAGTAACTTGCTCTCCTTCAATGCCTTCTTTTGGTGATGTAGTCGACTCGGGGTATTCACTCTTCTGAGATCTTTCAGAATCCATTATCATCTATGATCAGCACCTGCCATGCAATTTGTTATCATCTAGCGTCGTTTTCACTTTTCAGTACTGTAATTAAACTTTTTATTTTTGTTTTTTTCCCTCATTTGAGTTAGAAAAAAGAGAGTTCGGGGAATGTTCAACTTATCTTTGCCAACTTGAATGAAAATTTTATTTGAAAAGCAGCTTTTAAGCAAAGTTATTTTCATCTCAGAACATGATGCAATTGATAACGCCCTGTCATTTAGTTCAACTTTGGGGTAGAAATCAATTAATATGGACTGCATGATTGCCTGCCTCTTTGCGGCTACTTGCTCTACTTTTTGTCAACAACCCTATCTCTTTACACAAAATGCATGTAAACACATAGACAAAAGCCTCCAAGATGGATTCATTCACCATTAATGTTTACAGCTGTTCCCTTAATCATAACATTGTAATTTAATGGATGAATAAAACCTATCAGATTATGTTGCATTTCTAATTTTCTATGTTTCTTTACTTCATCATATTTTTCAAACCTCAAACTTGGGTGAGTGTATAGTTTTTTTCAGAACTCCCAACAATATGGAAACTAGAACCACAAATGTCAGAAAACTAGAAAAAAGCGTAATCCAATTAACTGTAGGCAGACGGTAATGTAGTCAGGATAGGAAACTTGTAAAAGCAAGCAAATCATGAAATCACGAAATCATGAAAGATAGTAACTTGCTTTCTTCTTTATTATTGCTCTCTTTTTTTTTTTAAATGCAATGTTTAGGCACAGTTTTCTTATACTAACAGACAGCTAAAAAGGTGTTTTAAGGAAGAAGACTGACAATTAGACATCACTGTCAAAGTATCCTAGACATGGTACTAGAAAAACATAACACCTCATCTTGCACATTTGCAAGGATTACTTTCGCTACTTGCTAGACAAAAATCTTAATGGAAAAGTGGACCTGTTTGTCTGTTTTCAACTTTCAGCACAACTGGCCCTTGATGTAGCACTTGCATTTGGTTTTGTTTTATGATCATCATCCTAAGCGTGCTCTTGCTGCTGCTTCCCTTGAGTAGGAAAGCTAAGCTCAAATAGTGACCCTTTTCTTTTCTTTTCCCTCTTTTTTTTTTTCTTGTTATCCAAAGAATTCGGGATCCTGAGAGGGTTGTAAAGGTGACTAGCAAAGTAAATCCGAACATTTGACTCAATAATGGTTGCATATATCATTTTTGTCATCTAGTAAAGTTTGAATTTTCCTTTTCTCAAAAGAAAAAAAAAAAAAAACCAGTGACTAACAAGATGCAGAAAAGTAGCATAGTTATCTGATCCGAAGGAGAAATTAATGGCTGCACAAAACTTGGCCACATCAAAGGAAATTTGGTTAGCCGCAAGGATTTCAATTGGATGAGTGAGAAAGACTAGGTTGAAGAAAATGAAGGATAGCTGATTCCCTATTTTCTAGAAGTTGCAGACCGTAATCCACTTCTTACTGAAAATTCACACCTGTATGAATGCTGTTCTCATTCAGAAAATGCTGTCATTTCTAGAGGATAATCACTTACAAAAGCAACATTCAAATCCAAAAGATATCTGATCTGAAATCTGGCACATTTAAATGAAGCTGTGACAAAAATGTAAAATCTGAGGACTAAATGCTGGAATTGAAGTGATAGACATTTATTACAGTCAGTAATTCTCATATATTCGTATATCATAATAAATTTATCGAACCATGTCAAGCATTTGTCACAACATAATTATGTATCTATTCCCATATAGTCACATTTTGATGCCTCCTTGGAGTTTTTCATAAATTACTTATCCTCTTCGCAACAACCCCTGATAAAAAGTAGGGCAACAAGAACACCTTTCGAGTTCCTTTTCTAGGTTGAATTGAAAACTTGTTCCCAAAATGAAAATAAAATCTAAGAATGGCGGACATGAACACACAGTTGATGTAAAGGGAAGAATGATGTGATCTTTTTGTTTCAGAAAAGATCACATCATAAACAAATGCAACAGACTCCAAAATTTGGACGGGTTGACATGGTTCTCTCTCCCTAATGTAACTGCAGGTTCTTCAGCGGTTATTCAAAAGCAAGGTGTATGGGGTTTGCTAAACTTTTTATGTTTTGGCCATGGGCTTATTCAAGATGGAAGAGATGGCCCTATGAAGATTATATGAACACAGATGATCAGAGCTGCTATGTGCTAGATCTGAATAGTGGAACCATGATAACAAGGGAATGAAGCGTCCTATTTTGAAGACTTGCACAAAAAAAATAATGTTTTGGTTCATGACCTTGATCAAAAAGGGGGATTGATGCAGTTGCTTCTCTTTTCTCTTAGCTTGAAGCGTGCACCTCAGTGTTGCTGCTGCCACTGCCAGTAGAAGAGGCAGAACTCTGACTAAACTGTTGTGTGCTTGAATGAGGAACAGGTGCACCTTTAGAAAAAACTGAACCAACTGATTCACTAGATCTGCTCACTGATGATGACATTATGGCTGGAACAAGGTCCTTGCTGGATCCTGAAAGAAGTTCTGGTCGTAACTCTGAAGATGAGGATGATGGAGCTAGAGTACCAATTGTAGATCCAACAGGATGGGGTGCAACTGGCATATCCGCAAGGGAAGATGCAGATGGACTGTAACTTAATGTTCCCATAGGATGATCAAATTTGCAAGCCGCTCTGAACTTGCACACCCCGTGTTGTGAATAATGAGTGCAAGGTGGCGCACCCTGATGGAATTAAGAAAAACGAACAAATAAATATCTGAACAATAATTTACCAGGAAAAACTTAAGTTAATTTAAGCAAGTTTAACATAAAAAACCATAAGACCCACTGGTGAAAATTCTCCGCTTTGCAGAAAAGACTTGACATATAGAAATGGCAACATGAGCTGATGTTGGAGCTAAGCTAACATAACAAGTAAGAAAATATAATGCCAAGGCAAAAGGAAAAGAATAATAAAAGAACAAAAAAATGCAAGACAAGAGAAAATTACACATTCACATGTTTAATGCTCCCGGTGGGGAGTTCCTGCTATGAGTTGCAAGCAAGTATGAAACTTATGATAACCATAAGTAGCACTGACTACTGTATTTCCATTAGAAGACCCTAGGGAGAGAACGGTTTGCACAATAATGCTTTCCACAAATTAGAAAACCAAAGTTGGACATACTTAACTTTGCTCATTCAACTTTATTCATACTCCTGAAAATTGTTTGTAGAGGGAATTAAAGAGGGCAGATAACATCGATAGGTCCTATCAGAAATATATGTTGCACAGCTAATATACTAAAAGGAAAACATAGAATAACACATAACTAGACATTCATGTAACCAGATGATAGTGAGTCTGAAACTTAAGTAGCTGGTTGTTAAAAAAGTTGGCAGAACGACATCAGGAAAGAAAGCTAATATTCCTGGACAAGCACAGCCAACCACATGCAATAGAAATACATGGGGATAAGAAACATGAATATATAAATAAAACTATTCAACCATAACAACTCAATCATAGCTTCCTTTGTTGAACTTTTGCGGTTTTCGATAAGCTGAGTTTCACAGATACATATATTACAGTTTCAATCATGAATAAACTCACTTGTTTTAGAGAGTGCAAAAACATTCCCATTCAATGCAGTCACTCCAATAAGATTGTGGAATAAGCCAATTTTTTACCATATATAGATAATAATCAGGAGGAAGGAGGAAGGCCTTAGATCATGCAGATTAAAAATTTTCTTCAAACCCTAGTGTTCTTCTTCAGTCCGTCACTATAACCAAAAAGCTCCTCATCAGAAACCCTGCAATCAAGCTAGCTTGGAAGGAATGGCCAAAATTAAGGGTGATACCATTTTCAGCATCTTGAGCTGACTAACTATACCACATTTCTACCCATCCTGACTAACTCACTTTTGCAAGTTCTGAGTCCAAAGGTAGAAATTGCTTGAAAAACTTAAAACATATAACTCAGGTGTTGTCATGTAGAATTTATCAATATACATCCATTAACCAAACTAATACGTGAAAGAGCACATCATCAAGCCCGTAAGTTGACTTGGTCAAAGGGCAGTACTCACCATCATTCCTCATCCCAACTGTCCTGGAAATTTATGTTGAAATTGGAAATTAAAGCATCAAACATCATCAGGAACTTTATTACAGCACCCCAACTTGTGCAGTTGACAGAACAATTATAACTACTCTTTCTCAAAAGAACTACTGAATTGACATCTATAAATTAACTAAAATACACATCTAGGTTAGAGACCTTTGACATTTACAGAGATGGCCTAATTACAAATCCTAGAAAATATGAATCACAAAATCACCCTGAAATTATTATATCCTTAATAGTAAATCAATAAGCATATGAAAGATTGCAACATGGAGGTTAAAGATATTTCATCTAAGTTAGGTTAAAGATACTACATCTAAGTTAAGTTAAAACACACCTGTGAAATCAAGAAGAAAAGTAGTAACCCAAGAAACTCTGATGCAAAAACGCAAAAACAGAAAAATAGAATAACCTTTATCTCCCAAAATCAACACAATCATTCATGAAAGTCTCGTAACATATTTATTCATAATGTAAAGTATTTTCATCAAACACGCTTAGAGAGTTCAAGGCAATTTCACCAGGAAATCCTGTATTTAAAAAGAAAAATCTACAGGTTCATTAAGTAATGAAGGCTGGCACATACATCTATAAAACAACAATACAAATGCACACCAGAAGAATGTTCTTTAATTTCACAAGTGACATGTAATAACAATCTATTAAAATACAAGTCAAGGATACTTCAAATCAGTAGTTACAGAGTCCAAACAAACGCAGAAGTTTACACTAGAAGTGCTTCACAAAATGCATATCAACTTTCGTATCAAGCAACAGGTTAAATGTTCTGCCACACATATAATTGAAAGAGATTAATGTTTGTATGACCTCATATGTAAACCTTTTAATGATATTGGGTTGAAAACTCTGAACAGACTAGGGGATCCAGAACAGGTTTTCTTAAAACAAAGTTCAAGTGAAAGACTCCAAGAATTGGCACAAAAAGATGTTTTCCATGCTCAGACAACCGAAGCATTACCAAATCAAGCGGAGAACAATAGTCTGAATTTGTCCTATGACAAGATTCTAAGAATGAGTTTACATGCTAAAACTTAAAACATAATAAGAAGCTTCCAGTTACGTTTGAGGGCAAAGACCTAAGTTTTGGCAGACCTTAGATACTTATTCAAAAGTTTCACTAGTACACATTTTCTCCTTTTCTGTAGAGCTTCAATTTCTCTACAGAAAAGGAAATCCTGAGCAAGGCAAAAACTCTTAACATTTTATTTGGTCTAGTTGAGAACCCACATAGACACCAAAAAAACACAAACAATAAAATTACAGAAACATTATCAATTGTTGCAAAAGCAATTGAGCAAAGAAAATGCTGATTCATGCTGCCCAATAATAAGTATTACACATGATCAAACCTTTAAAAGCCAATCTTGTATAAAGCATCACATTTATAGAACGATTTACGAAATGCTTACTGGACGAAGAGGAAGACCAAGGGGGCTGAGGATGACATCTGCTTTTGGTGCAATCACTTCTGGTGGATGATGATATCTACAGGAGGATCCATATTTACAATCACCTGTTTTCATATAATACTGACATTCTGGTTGGCCAGGTCTCTCAGGAAATGACTGCTCCTTCTGAATACTACTTGAAGGCCCAACACTAGATGGTACAGGTTGATGAGATCCACTATAGACAGCTGCTGAAGGAGATAATGGCGTTACTCCAAAAATTGAGCTAGATCCAACAGTGGTTTGAGTACCAGGACTGACAGACGCCTGCATGAGGTGCATCAACAACCTCAAAATAAATATTAATATACCCAATGTTGAGGAAAATGAATAAAGTTTTAATTCTCCTACCGTATAGGGATTCCAACTTGGAACAGAAACCATGCTTGGGGAAAGCAAAAAGGAAGGACCATAGGGGCCTTGCACATATGAGCCTGGCATCAAGGGAGGCCTTGCCATTACAACTCCATATTGCTGAGACGAAAGGCCGGATGGCGACTGCACCGTGGGATATAATGTAGGTGCAGGAACTGGTGTAGGCACAGGTGCAACTGGATGAACAGGAGATGGTACTGGAACCTGTACGGCATGTGGTGCAGGATGATGGAATTTACATGTGACACCAAACTTACACTGCCCCGTCTTCACATAGTAGGAACACTCCTTTTCACTCTGTTTTACGGTACTAGTCAATCATCAAGTGACATTAACAATAGTATCTAAAAGATTAAGGTTCAGCGTCAAGTGATACCAACCGGACGTAATGGGTATCCATAATAATTTAGTGGCACAGGGCTAACAGAACCACCTCCCTGCTTGGGATGATGGTACTTACAGGAAGAACCAAATTTGCATGTCCCCGTCCTCATATAATACTGCAAATCAATAAAAAGGAAAGCCATAATCAACATAAAAAGTAACTTACAATTTTCCTAAACAGTCAAGCCAAACAGAACCTATTCACCGAATATTCAAGACCTAACTCTATCCTTTAAACATAAAGTGACATAAAGTTATCTTTACATCCAAGAATTTAGGCAATGCACATTGTTGAAATTGTACCATTTCGGCATACACACCTCAAATTTGTCAAACATTTAAGAAACAATCTAATTACAAAGTACCTGGCAAACAGGCTGGCCTGCTCTCTCCGGATACTCCCCTACACCACCTCTTCCAGCTCCCATAACCTAAGGCAATCATCATCATCATCATCAAATTTCTTTCAACAATCAAAACAAATGAGCATCAAAGTTTTTCCAAAATCAAGATTACCAATTACACTAGATCTCAATGCAGTAACCAAAAACTTTCAATTTTTACCCCAAAATTCGAAACCCCATCACTCCAAAGACAATGGTCAAACAAAAAACCAATCAAAAACGTTTAAGGAAACATCAAGTCAGATTAAAAACAAAGAATAATTCAATCAAATTATCAGTTTGTTTACCGCGGCACGGTCACGTGGATGATTGAACCGACACCTTGAGCCGTAGCCACAAAACCCAGTCCTCAAATAGTAAATACAATCAGCTTCTTCGGGTCGCTCCGGGTATGATTCCGACTCACCCCCTAATTCCAACCCCCAAACCGGTTCTACATTTGAAACAAAAACCTCGTATCACATCCCACATTACACCAAAAAAAACCCAAATTCCAAAACAAAAAGTTGTAGTCTTCTTTACCTTCGAGCCCCGTTTCGGGTCCCGGAGCTGTCCATTCCGGTTGCGGATCGGACTCTGTGTCCCGCTCCATTCACCGTACGGACAACAACCCCCAAATAACCCAAATTGTAACCCGATCAAATGGGTGTTTATGTCTTCTTTTCTAGAAAGAAAACGAAGAACAACTAAGCAAACAAAAAAATAAAAGAAAAAATTTGGAGAGAGCAAGCAAAAAAACAGAGAACTTCTTTCTCCTTTCTTTCTTACACTAAAAAAAAAACACTGTTTTGTCCGTTGTTTTTTTTTCTTTGGGTTTTGTTTGGTTTGGTTTTTTTGTTGGTTTCTCCCTCTCTTTCTTAACTTTCTTTCACTTTCCCTCTCTTTCTTTCTGCTTCAGTTTCCCAGAATCCTTTGCCGTTTGTTTGATCTTTCCTTTCCTTTTTTCTTTTTGGGTCGGTTTATATACGCGCCAAATAGAGGGAAAAAAACCTAAACCATTCAATGCAATTAAAAAAAAAAAAAGTTAATTACTTTTAGATTAGCCATCAATCATCATCTTTGTACTTCGTTTTTCAAGCATTTTTTTTAGTGACATGAAAATTAAAAAAAAAAAAAAATTTAAGGTAAAATTCAAATTTGCTTTTGATCGAATTTGAAGTGTTTATATTTCGATTTTAATCGAATTAATTTATTAAATTAATTTAATTCAATACTTTAGTATTTAGATATTTTGTATGAGAATTTTATTTAATTTTTTATAAATTTAAAAAATTAAAATTTTTAATTTAATTTAAATATATTTTATTCTTTGATTGATTAAAAAATTAATATCGCTGTTAACACTTAAAAAAATTTACCAAACATGGTCTTCGATCTAATGTTTTTGTAAGGTTTTAAATACAAGTTAATTTAGACACGTGCTACAACAAATATGTCAAATTCTTTAAAACAAGTCATTGATTAATTAGAAAACAATTGTCATTAACTTTGGTTCCATTTAATGACAACAAACAATTAAATTTTATTTGTTTGGTACAATTTACTAATTTAGGACTTAGCCAAGACAATCAATTTGCCAAAGTTAGGATCACATTGAAAATAAAATAAAATCTGGAGCATGAAAAAGAATCTTACAACATAAATCTTTTGAGCAATCATTCTTTTAATAATTTTAAAAGATTTTATTAAGGCAAAATATTGATTTTAACTTTTTTAAAAGTATTTATTCGGTGGATTCAATTAATTTTAAATTAAATTATCAAAATATATTACTTTATTTTTATTAATTAAATTGAATTTTCTTAATTTCAAAAATTAACAAACTAAAATTAATCGATTTATTATTAAATTTTTTGATTAATCGAATAATAAAATACATTAAATTATATTATATTTTAATTTTTTCTCATATATAAAATAAATAAAATAAAATCATTATAAAAATATTTAAATATCAAAATATTAAGTTAAAAACTCTAATAACTTGAAATGATATAAATAAATTCATATATTTTTAGTTATATAAATTATATAATATTTTGATTTTCGAATCGAATTAATCGAAAATCTATATTTCTTTAAGATCATTTTTTAAAATTAATCAAAATTAATTCGATGACTAATCAATTAATCGAATTAAATTAATTTGATCAATTAATTCGATTAAAATTGAATTATAAATATCTCAAGCTATTGGTGTACTGTTATTATTTAATATATTATTAGTGTAAATTTTTAATTAAATAAATAAAATTAAAATTTTAATATATTTTTTTTATTTTTTTATATAACTAAAAAATATATATCATCTTATTAACTTTGTTTATAAAATTTAAAAACTTCATCGTTAATAATTTTTCATTGAGGTATTAATTTAAATTATTAAATAGCTTATAAGTTAAGTAATAAAAAGACAAAGCGAGGCGATAATTAAGTTAAAATTTTTTAAATTGCGAGTTTGTTTTTAATTTTATGAATTTGATAAAATTTAAAAGTGTGAAATTTTCGAAGTGAATTAAATATATAGAAATAAAAATTTAAATAAATTAAAATTTTAAAACAAAAGTGGGTCATATTTTGAAGAGTCTTTTCAGTGGAACTTTATAACTTGGAGGTGTTAAGAAAATGGGGTTTGATAACGACACCTATTTTTATGACACTTTTTGGATGAACAAACCATTGTTCAACACGTGTCTGAAAGAAAGGCCTTTCTTTTGCGCAAGCAGTTTAACTTCAGTCTTCCTTATTTCACGCGCTGTATCCTGTGGAAAGTTAAAAAAAATAAAAGCATTTATTTACACATTATTTATTTAAAATATAAAAAAGAATCCATTAAATTTATAGAATTTTGTTTTATTTTAATGCTAAAAATATTTTCAATGGTTATTTTTAATATTCAAATTAATAGTATTTTAATGTATTTACTTGAATTATATTAAAAGGGAATATTATCTAGTATTAAAAGATTTTTTTAGAAAATTATTAGTATAAAAGTTAGCTTTTTATTCTAATTTTTGTTAATTTTACAAAAAAAAAAAAAAAAACTCAAACTATATACATTGATTTATGTAAGTTTAAATTGAAAGCTTTTAATATAGTTATATATTAACTCAACTAACTTGAATAATCAATAACTATATGATTTATTGGTTAAATATTAAATTTTTTTATTTTAATGATCATAATTAAATTTTTGATAAATTCCAATACACAAAAAAACTAACTTCAATTGATCCAATTTCATATAATAAAATATTAAAAAATTACAATAAAAAAAGTTTTTCGCCCTATTAAAAAAGTTTGCGATGAAAATTATTAATTTTACTAAAGTTTTCAATCACCAATGTTATTTGCTTAAATTCGAAAATAAAAATTAATTTTCGTTAATGTAACTTTCATGCTTTGAACATTTTTATTTCAAATTTGGTGAAAAGTACATAAATTTTTTTTATTATTGTTTCAATCTTGTGAAAGGTAAATTAAGAATTTAAAATAAAAAAAAACCTTATTAATGAAACAATGAGGTCAAAGCTTCAGATTCAAATGAATTTTTTAGTCAAAATTTAGGTGGCTTTGAATAATTTGATCAAAGTAAATTGAAAAAAAAAAAAGAAAAGGGTGAAAATAAAAAAAAAAAACAGTGCTGACCATTGCCAACACTGGCGCGTGGCCATAATTTTCAAGTCTGTTAAAAACCTGAAGCGAGTAAACATCATGGGAAGGTCGTTTCAGTTGAAAAATCTATTACTACAATTTTAACAACACAAATCCAACGACCGAGATATCTTCTTTCCCCCAAAAACCAACGGCTATGATCAGGAAAGAATTAATTTTGATGAGATTTAAAATAATATTAGTGGGGAAATTAGATGATATTGTACATTATACAATAGTAAATGGATGTTTAAAATTATGATTGAAAGCATAAAATAAAAGCTTGAAACTTTTTATTTTTATATTAAATAATCAACTCTTTATTCTCTTTCGTATTACAAACTTAAATATAATAAAAAATAATTATATAGTGAAATATTATTTAAATTCAAATTAATTAAATTTGATAATTTAAAATATAATATATTAATATAATATAAATATGATATAAAAATAAAATATGAATATTATATAATTTAAAATTTTAATAATAATTATATATTCATTTTAATAAATTAGAAAAATATATTTTATGTTTTATTTTTATTTAAATTATAATATATAATTTTTGTATAAGATATAATATAATATTTTATATTTTACAAATATAAATATCGTCAGATCTACCCATTCCCAATTAACCTCAAACTGAATTTCAAATTTCACTGCACTCCGAGTTCGGCGGAATCCAAATGGGCCCGTAGCAGGTAAGGAGTCTATAAATGCATAATTACATTGTACTAAAGTGACTGGATGCAGGCGGTGGAAGAGAGCGAAACTAGGGATAGAAGGCCACCGGAATAAGCAGTAATCAGGTGGAAAGTGGTTGTTGTTTGACTTGAACCAGCTTTGGCCACGTATGGGCACTTTACAAGATTTTATGCATTGTTGTAGTAACCGTATCTTCTATCATCCAAATGTCGGCGAGGTTGAGATTGACGGTTTTTTTTTATTATTATTTTGTTAAAGGCTCTCAAAAAATAATTTGGAAAAAACAAAAGTTTTATCAATATCAATTAATGTCAGTGTTATAACATAAATTATATGATTTTTGATACAGTACCGACAAAGATATCAATTTATTAATAAATAAATATTAATTTTTAAAATAAATATATAAAAAAATTAATATTATTTAAAATTTTTATTTATTAATAAAAATAAATATTATTTTATTTTATTAATAAAATAATATTATTTAATTTATTAATAATATATAAAATTTATATATAAGATTTTTTTTTGTTTTGTAAGAAAAATATATAAAAATAATAAATTATTTAATTTTTTACGTTAAAATAAATGTGTATTGATATTAAATAAATAATTATAATCATAATTAAATATATAATAATTTATTATTAATAAAACTTAAATCCAAAACTTATTAATCGAAAAAAATAATTTTTAACCAATTCAACCACCTATTTATTGATAAAATTTATATATAAGATGTAAGAATAACTTTTGTCATAGTTCAACGGGCCTAAATGGGCCTAATGAGTACTGTAGGCTGCAGGGATTCATTGCCCTCTAAATCTTCAAAGATCCCTTTCTGTTACCTATTATTATTATTATTCAACATAAAGTGCTTGCATTAAAGGTTTTTATGGCCGCTGGATGTCAAGTCTGTTGTCAGCTCCCAATCATTTTATTTTAGATCGTCAAGCTTTCAATTTTAATATCATAGCATTCATGACCACAAAATTCAAAATAAAAAATATAATTTTTTAAATTAATCAAATTTTGAGATATCATCTTTCATTTGTACTGATTAAGAACTTATAGGAATGATAATGAACTATTTATTTAAATTTATATATAATTAAATAAGTAATATTCATTAAATATTTAAATTCGTTAAATATATGTTAATTTAAATTTTTATTAAAATATAAAATAAATGAAATTTAAATAATAACAAATAAATAATAAATTTATTATTCATATTCCTCAATTATTTTTTTATAGGGTTCGAAATCTCACCCATATTTGTGTGATTGGAAAAATAAATTTACAAATAAAGGGAATAAATCCAAAACAATGAGATTTTCTATAAAATAAAAACTTATTTATTAAAAAATTATTAAAATAAATAAAATACAAACTCTTGAATTGCAAAAATTTTGAACTTTGAATCAATTACTCCATTTGAAAAATAAAAGTCCTAAAATTTTAGTTTTATATAAAGATTAGGCACCATTTCTGCCTTTAAGACATGTCTCTATTCAATGATGATAAATCATGACTGCAGCCCAAAAATAGCACAATAATGAGCTAATCTGTCAAACCTGTTTTGAATTTTTTTTTTTTTCAATCAGTCAATTTATTTTCAACTTGAGTTGTTAAGCAAAGATTGGACAATCCCTTGTAAAAAGTTGGTACAAAATTTTGTTTTAACCAGGACCAAAGGACAGAATGTTTAATCATGTCTTAAACTAACATGAACACATGTTTACTATGTTACTTTATTGGTTTACCATCATTTTCAATTTTCACGTTGATTTTATCTTAAAAATCGAATAATAAATTATTTTTTAAAGAATAATAATGTATTATTCATGTATTAATATTTTATAAATATTTTTTAAAATTTTAAATATATAAAATACAATCACAATGTACCGTTACTAGAGATGACAATCAAACCCGTCATCGACTGGTTTCGACCTGATCCGATCTGATTTTATAAAACTATTTTTTTTTTTAAAATTCGAGTTTCGAATCGGATAAAGTTATGAAATAATTTGGGTCGGGTCGGATTCGGGTTTTAGGCAAATCCGATCCGATCCGATATTATATAAAAAATTAATTTTTAATTTATATACATTTATATAATAATATTTTAAAATATTATTATTTAAAAAAATAATATTTTATATTTTAAAAAATAATATTTTATTAATTTCGAATCGAATCGAATATAATTTATATAGTATGAGTCAGGATTAAATTCGGAGCTAGTAATCCGATTTGATGTCAACCCTACCCGTAAGACTATAATTTATTTAAAAAAAAAGTATTGGATGATGGAAATCCTTGTTCAGAAACATTGTCTTGTCCGGACTTCGATTTTTGTTTTGGAGTAACACACAATCCTTAATTAATCAAAATTATGTCTATTTTGGCTGCTACAATCATGAAAAAAATCTATAAGTGGCAGACACAAAAAATTTGAAGGATCACATGTTGTTTTGTTTTCTTGAGAAACAATAGTAGTTGTAGTTTGGTCATGCTCAATTTTACTTTCAGGAGCCAAAGCTTTGCATACATTCATCGTACCTTTGTTTGGTGGCTGACTCGTGGTTGAGATTTTTGATACATAGTCTCGTTTATACACGCATATGCAGACAGATACATACAAAATCAAAAAGATTAATTTGGGATTACGTAAGAATTTATGATCAATATGTTTTTGCAATTTAGTTAGGAAATTGAGTTCAAAAGACATTTAAGAGTAAGTTAGATCTAACGAGGGTTGATAGAAGTGGTAAAAGATGAATGTTAGGTGAATTAGTAGTAGGTTCAAATTTTCTCATGATTTTTTGTTGATAGGTGATATGTAAATTTGAAAAGTTCACAAGTTAAAGTTTAATAGTGTAACATCTTAATCTCACATCAAGATAATTTAAGGTTTTATTATAATATATATGTAAAAATTTAAATTTAAATATATAAAATATTTTTTGTGAAATAAAATCATGAGACTTTCAAATTAAAATAAATAATATCTCATAAATCAAATACGAATTTTCAAAAATAAATTCGTAAATTTTAATTAAGTTGATTATTTACTCTAACTTTAGAAGCGAGGTAACTTTTTTTTTGCTTTTGTTAGAAAAAAAAAAGTAAGTTAGAATATGTTTTTCAACATTAATTTCAACCTGTCCATTGAAAAAAAAGGGATAGTGTAGTAAATTGAAGATTAATCTTTTTTTTTGTTTTCAAAAACCTAGCTAATGACAAAAATGTTAACATGACAAGAAAATGAACTTGGGCATTTTGCAAAGTGCATCATCAAGGACAAAAGCCTTTACCCACAAAACATGAGTCCAACATGCAGGGCTTAATATTCAAAACCGAAAGCCCAATCAGAAGTTCAAAGTGTTCTACTTTATGTTAAACCAAAATTCTGTGTTCTGTTCGAAGTTCCAAGTTCGAAAGGCCCCCAGTGTCCCCCAATGTTGTTAGGTTTTCTTCTCTTGGAAAATGTCCTAATGCATGGTCGATGTTTGTCTTGCTTTGGGTGTTCTTCAATCCTTCCTGTAACTCATCAAGAGTATGTTTTCAATCAAATGGTTTTTTTTTTGTTCAGGGATGTTTGCTAAATGATATTCTATTATCATCAAACCCTGCTTAGCAAAAGAATAAAACATGAAATCCTGTCATTGTTTCTGTCCTAACTAGTATTTAGGACAATCTGAAAATTCGATTCACAGTCGGCTTACTTTAAGCAAGTTATTAAAATTTTCCAACTGATTTTTTTTTTCGTTTTATTCAATTTCTTTTTTTTTCTTATTAATTGAATATTTGGTATCAATTACTATTTTTAATATTCATCTCATTTTTTTAATATTTATATATGCAATTTTGGTATAAATGTGATTAGAGTTATTTATCAATTTTTTGAAAGTGGTGTCTGTTTAGCTATATCTGAACCTGTTAATCTATGTTTTTTTTTTTTTTTAAATCAAGTCATATAAAATTATTATTAAAAAAATATTCATTACAAATCATTTATAATAATTACATGATAAATGTTTATTTTAATGTGTTCTTACATGTTATTTGTAATAAATAATTATGTGATAATTTAAACAAAAAATACATATATTAATATAAAATAGCTGATTTATATAGTCCTTTGGCTGATATGAGATATCTAATAGTCTATGGCTCACCCCATTGAAAATTTACTGAAAAAGACTGAATTATTTATTTTAACAAATACAAACATATGTAAACTCTTTAGAAAAAAAATAAATTAGCTACTGGTTGATTCTTTTCTATCAATTTTCCATTTCCCCTTCTCTTTGCCTCCTCTTGAGTCTGGCCTCCCTTTCTGTGATCGACAATGGGCTAACTTGCTTCATCCCCAAAGAGATTTTCAGGTGAGGTGAGCAACTCTTTTCAACTACCTGAGATTTTTTTATTTCAATCGCCATGTTTTACTTCCTCTGTAAAACTCTTGTCCATGGGAGATGCAGTGTCACAGTTTCACCCACCCAAAGATTTTGTTTGCTTCAAAAACTCCCATTTAGCCTATTATCTCCCAAACCCATCCCAACAAATGCAAATCAACACTCAATGGTAGTCTCATATCTGGTAAACTCGTGTGGGTTGTCTCCAAAATTAGCTCTTTTAGTATCCAGGACAGTATACTTTGAAACTCCTGAAAAACGAAACTTGGTCATTAGTTTTTTCAAGAACCATGGATTCTTATGGATTCAAGACTCAAAAATCATTGAGAAGGCTCCAACGCTACTTCTTTTTCCGGCCTGAGACAACCATTTTGCCCAAGTTCCGATTTTTTTACTCTAAAGGAATTTCAAGCTTTGACCTTGCTAAATTTATGTATATTTGTCCTAGAATTCTAAATTAAGCTTGAGAAACAAAATAGTCACCAATTTCAATGCTCTTGAAAAGTTGATGAATTCTAAAGACAAAGCCATTGCTGCCATTAAGCGCAGGCCAACTATTTTTCATTATAATATTGAAGGCACAGTTGCCACTTTGCGTGGTCATGGGATGCTTGATGCTAATATTGCTATGCTTATACAATGATGGCTTCAATATACAATGTTATCTCCAGATTATTTTAACCAGACTGTTGAGGTTGTCATAAAAGATGGGTTTTAATCCTATGAGGTCACACTTTGTTATAGCAATTGTTGCACTGAGGGCAAATGGGGAGGCCTTGTGGAACAAAAAGTTTAATATTTATAGGAGTTGGGGTTGGTCTGAGGAACATATTATTGCGGCATTTGTAATGTTCCCTTGGTGTATGATAGATCTGAGGGTAAAATTTCTGCCGTAATGGACTTCTATGTGAAAACAATGGGTTGGGAGGAAAGTTTTCTTGCGGAACGCCTGTGTCTTTTTTCTTTATTGCTTGGAAAAGAGGTTTCTTCCTCGGGCGTCATTTATTCAATTTCTGTTATCAAAAGGTTTGCTTGAGCAGAACGTTTCTAAGGTGCATGGGACGTTTATATGTCGTGAAAAAGTTTTCATGAAGAAGTGTTTGACTAGCCTTAAACATGAGCCATAGCTATTGAAGCAGTATATGGATAAGTTCGAAGCTTGTAAGGTGACAGAAGGATCAGTATGAAGGTAAGCAAAAAAGCAACACTTGGATAATGTGCATATCATGAATATCGAACCTGAATGGACTCTTGTTTTCATTTTATTATCAGATAATTTATCATGAGTGCCCCAGCTAGAAGCTGAGAAGCTTCTTTAGAGAGGAGATGCAGCGGTAGCAAAGTATTTATATCTTTTTTATTCTCTCTCTTAATGGATATAGTAGGCATATTTTCCCCTTTTTGCCGGTGTTGCTTGGTTTCAAGTTCAAAAGGTTGATAAATTTGAATGAATCTCACTTTGCAATTTGATTGTCCCGTAGTCCTGTTCTTTGTCATCATGATTGCAAATTGAAACTAGAGTTTTAACATCAGGATGTCTGATGTCTTGGCTACAGAGTGTTAGAATAGCTCATCTTGTTTGCTCTTCTACAGGCCTGTAATTAGTTCTTATGGTTTCTATTGAAACCAAGTTATGTTGAGAACTGACTGATTGCACTTACTGATTTGCTGCATCTTATACTGTATTGCTAAGGTGTCTGGTTTATGCTATGTGAAGTTAATCTTCATCTTCCATCAAAAGTTGTATCAGTGTAATCATGCCTTGCCACTGCTATTAGATTTTAACCATTTTGGATATCTTTCCATGTCAACAATTTATTCTTCCTTCCCTGTTACTTGCTGTTGGGTGAACTTTTTATGACTTAAGGGAAGTTTATATGCAGCTAATGAAGGAAAACTCCTGAACTTGAAAAGTTGTATGAGGAAAAATCTGAACTTTCAATCGTACAAAAGGGGCTTCAGAATTGATGTACACCTAAATTCTAATATTGCAACCGTCAGATGTGGATTCGTGTGAATTTATGTGTACTGTATGTATGCTGGTGGTGGAGTTTCACAATTCTAATTTTTTTTTTTAGTTATTTGGTTAAAGAAAACAAAAGAAATTCATCCATTGAAGTTTGAACTATACAATGTTGAATTGTTGAATGTGTGGAGTAATCATGGTGCAATGTGTTGGTGGTTGCCAAATGCAAGCTAAATCATTAATTCAATTGAAGATCTCTTCTGTAACTGGGAAACAATCACGTCCAGTTAATCTCCTGGTCACTAAAGGAACACAAAGGTATCTAACTGCAATATGCCAAGTCTTGAAACCAGTGATTTTGCGAATAGCAGTAATATCCTGGTCAGCCGCCCGAGCTGAATAGTTCACTCTTCAGAATCGTTCAGCAACGAGCTAGGGAGACTATAAAACTTTTGAAGAACCCCTGAATAGCTATGAGAGATTCTCTACTGCCTTTGCTTAATATCATCAAGTTATTAGCAAAGCTGAGAGGAGTAAGATTGATTCTTTTGCACTTAGCATGAAACTGAAAACAAACCTTAGACACGGCTTGATCTAGCATAAGTGAGAGAACATTCATAGCTAGTACAAACAAATAAATGGATAGAGCATCACCTTGTATTAACCCTCTCTTTCTAGAGAAGAAACCTAAAAGACACATTAATAGCTACAAAAAACTTTGGAATGCAGATGCAGCTTTTGATCCAGGAAATAAACCCAATGGGAAAACCAAGAACGGTTGAAACATTGAAGATAAAGTTCTAGTTCAGAGAATCAAATTCCTTTTTCAAGTCAATCTTCAACGCACATCTAGGGAACAAAGTAGATCTACTGTAGCCTTTAACCAACTCCTGAGCCATAAGCAAATTGTCTACTAAAGCTCATTCCCTCCACAAAAGCACTCTGGCTTTTACTAATGAGGGCTAGCAACATTTGATTCTGTTTGCCAATATCCCGGTGATGCATTTGTAAATAATGGTGCAACAAGATATTCAAGGATATGACTGGGATTGTAACTGCAAAATGGACATTGATATTGCTCTTTAAGTGCAACTGCAAAATAAAAAGTAAAGAGAGAGAGGGAGAGAGAGTGCATTGTTGAGCTAAAGGTTCACTAATGGCATAAAAATACAGCCAAAACAAGTTTCAGATCACAGAATTAATTGAGACAACGTATCATAAAAAGGAAAATCTGAATCTTAATGCTTACTTTTTCAATATTTCATTATATCGCTCCAAGAGTTCTGGTGCTTCAGTTACATGACGGGCAACAAAAGACTTGAGGAACCGCTCCTCCGTGGTGTCAAATAATGGAGACAATTTCAAGTCTTTAATTAAACCTTTAGATAACAGATGTTGAGCAAACAAACCCCTTGGAACGATCCTCTTCTTGAAGCTCCGACTCAGAATACTTGGTTGCTTAGCAACATGAGAAGAAGCGAAACTCATCTTGTTCACTAGAAAATCCATTATCGCCATGATCCTATCTTCAGAAACTGCAAAACAAGATGGATACTTTCGAAAACATTCCCAAATCTCTTTGTCAGACCAACCCCACTTCTTGTAAACATCAACCTTCCTCTCCCGTATGGATTTGCTCATTCCGGCCAACACAGAGACAGCATGAATAAATTTCACTATCTGAGGATTCAACCCCGTTTCCTCTACTTTTTCCACAACCTCCTTTAAGCCACCAGGATTTATCAACAAAGCTCTAGGAAATTGGTGAAGCATTTTTATAACATTTGATTCGGGCACTCCATGATCGCGTAGAATATTCATGTTTGGTAACAAATGAGCATCAATAATATTCACATCATATCCTATGAGAAACGGATTCCATTTTATAGCTTTAATAGTCTTTTCATCAGACTGAATCAGATTACTGTAAGTATTGAAAAAAGGGATAATTTGTCTATCCAAGCTTCTTAGCAGAATATTTGGGAAACTAGACAACAATTTGGCAAGGTCAGGGCTTGAAATACCTTTGGACTGAAGAAATTTCAACTTGGGCAAAAAGGTTTTCTCAGCATCAGAAGCAAGCAATCTTGGGACCTTGTTGACCATTGTTTTGATATGGGATTTTGAAAACCCATGTTTTTCAAAAATGAAATGACAGAGTCAGGACTATTAGGGGCCTTCAAATGGACATAATTGGAAGCTGCCAAAGCAGATTCTGGGGAGAACCCAAGTTTGTTTATGAGGTATGAAACCGTGAGCGAGTTCTGGTTTGAAGTGGTTGACATCAATCTGAGAGTATTTGACAGCCTGAAACTAGTTGGGTCATTTGGAAACAAGTGAAAAAGTGTGTGACTTTGAGAGGCTGTTGTAGCTTGTCTCCCATGGAGAACACTCCTTCTACAAAGAAAATACAACATGGGAATTGAAACCAAGTCTTTACTTACCTGCTACAGAGAAGAAGCTAATCCCTGAAAGAAGTGAACTTATTTCCAGCACAGAGTGAAAGAGCAGCGAAAACCTCCCAGGTTTAGCTCCAAAAGCTTTAAATTTAATGGCGGCGCTTTGCTCGGATTATGCACTTTACTTTTGTGTACAGCCCAGCCCAATTAACAACATTTTATCGTCTGTATATAAAAATATAAACTTAAAAAATAATAATAATGAATGATTAAAATATTTTTAATAAAATTTTAATAAAATTTAATTAAAATGATTATTTTATTATTAAATTTTTATTGAGATAAATTTGAATTTGAATTTTTTTATTATTAAACTTCATAAAAAATGTAATTTAAACTTTTTTTATTATTATTATTATTAGATAAAGTTAGAGATCAAACAGTATCTTTTAAATGAAAACTTTTATGTGATTTTTTGTGTAAAACTTATGCATATTTGTTTTCCTTTTTTTTTGCGTAAAAAATCTTCTTTTCTTTGCAAACAAATGGTTGGTTCATCTCCATTGCAAAATTATCTATTGATTGCTTGGGATTTCTTGCATCAATTTTGACCAAAAATAAAGAAAAAAAGTTATGCATCGATGAATTCTTTTAAGGTGAAACAAAATTCATTGGAACATGACAAGATATCAAGGTTAGAAATTTATTTTATTTTATTTTTTAAAATTATGTATTTTAATATTTATATATAATAAAAATTTATGCATAACAATTTTTTCAGATAACATAAGTTAATCAATGAAAACACTAATGGAAGATTATCCTAAGCAAAAAAAGTGAAAGAATGACTGGTTATACATAGCTTTATTTTCTCCATATGACAAACAAGGGTAGTTTTATATAATTTTTAAATGAAAAATATACAATTGTATTTATTTCAATTTTCTTTAGAACTAATATGAAATTATTTTATTAAGAAAAACATTGTACACTTCTTCGCTTTTTTTATTACATCAATTGAATAATATTCTATGTTGTAATTATTTTGGTGTTAAAGAGTTTCAATACGAGCCTCCATCATTTTGTTGTTTAACTGGTCAAGTGAACTTAGCTACCACTTCTGTTCTGGAATAATTATATCATCCTTTTGCATCTCAAATTGAAAAAGCCATTGAATTTCGAAAGCACATTAAATCTTGCAATAATATAAACATTCACATATTTTAGAGTTAGGTTGGGTTAGATAAGGATCTTGCATCTTCAAGACAAGGTATTTACACCATCGAGCACAAGGGCAAATATATCATGATATTCCAGCATTAGTTACAGAAGAAAATAATTTATGTTATTTTCAACTATACTTTTATGATACAGATAATGAACTTTAAAATAGAATGAAAATGCAATAAAATAAAAATTTAAGTACAAAAGTTGTGAAGATACTCATAAAAATTCTAGAAGAAAATCTTTATATTTAAGTCTTATGGAGATTAAAGGATATGTGTTTTTTTGAGGATTTTGAAATTCGTATTGCAATAAATGTTAATTTAGATCAATGAATTTATAATTGTGCATCTACTGATCAAGTAACTTACAATTAAACTATTAAACTAAAACTAAATCATTAATAATTTAAAAGTAAATCATTCATAACTTAACAGTAAATCAATGTTAATTTAATAGTAAATTATTGATATTTTAGCAGTATATCTGTAGAGATCTGCACCTAATTTGTGAAGCATTATTCGCTTTGACCTAAATGTCTCATGATTTTATTCCATAAAAAATGTCTCACAAGTTTATATTTAAACATTTACTTATATATCTTAGTAGATCCATAGAATCTTTCGATATAAGATTTGGGTATTACAAACTTTCCTCATTAAAACTTGATATCTTCGTTAAGCCTAGCACAAAGTATACAGATTCACTGAATCATGCCAAATGTTGGGCAAGGCTAACACAAAATACACACATATCACAAGATCACACCAGACATTGAGATTTTAGAGATGGCTTATACCGTATAGTACTTAGCTCATGCAGGATTCTAGAAGTGGCTTTCACGGTATAACACTTAATTTTCGTCCAATTGGTGACCGCTCTGATATAGTTGTGAAAACCCTCACCCAATCTTTGATGTATTATCCGATGGTCTCACAGTTTTATCCCACAAAAGACGCCTTGCAAATTTAGATTTAAACCTCCACTTACATATCTTAACAGATCTACAAAATCTCTCAATATAAAATTAAAATGTTAGAATATAATTAATAACTTAATAGTAACTCACTGATAACATAATAATAAATAAATGATAATTTAATTGTCAATCACTGATAAATTTTTTTATACTTAAAATTGATAAGAATTGAACCTTTATTTCTAGCAGAAACAAAATTAGAAATTTTATCTTGAACAACTAAAATAAATCTACTACGAACCTATTCACTAGAACCAATTAAATAAAAAGTTTAGTGAAAAAAATTATAAATTTGATTGAATCAATAATGTTATTATATAAAAAAAAATTATCTTAAACTATAATCTAACCTACGCTTTTATTTGAGAATCCATTGTTAAAATATAATGACATAGATTTTATTAATAATTACTAAAGTATATCATAAGTTATCAAAAAGTTAATTAGTAAATTTACATCAACAAATTACTAAAATTTTATCAATGGTTATCAAAATTATGTCATAAATTACAAAACTAATACTGAAAGTTATTAAATTTGTGTCAAATATTACCAAAATTTTATAAAAAATTATCAGAATCAAAATTATATAAAAAGTTACCAAATTTTACTTATACTATACTAAAATCAAAATTATATTCTTAGTATTTATCATTATTATCATAGTGTCAAAAAAATTTACTTATGAAAATGATTTTTTAAATTGAGGGAGATTTTCATCAAGTGTTACATGTTGTTTCTCATGGTACAAGAGCGAAAATAGTTAATGTTAGTTTTCCAAAGTCTTATTTACGGAGTAAGATGAAAAAATTGAAATTGACAAGAAATATGAAAGCAAAATTAGATAATAGCTTCAATGAGTTTTTGCTTCGAATAAGAAATGATGTTGAACCTATAATAAGTAATAACTTAATTCTTCTTCCAAAGAAAATGGTGATAAAATACGAGAATGATAACATTTTAAATAAAAAGTTGATTGACAACATCTTTCATTTTCTTATAAAAAATGCGATCTAAAAAATATATGATGGAACATGCAATTCTTGCAACAAAAAATGAGTATGTTGATGAATTCAATACAAAAATGATAAAGATATTCTCAAGTATCAATATCAATAAAAGTTAAATTATTGTTAATATTGCCATATTGATATTTACATAATATATATGACTAATTTTGATTATATATTTTTAGGTGAAAACAAAATATTTTATATCAACCAAACATGGTGCAAAAAGTGCATAAAATTCACTACAAAATTTTGACTAAGGTAAGATATTTCATTATAATAGCATGTTATATACATAAAATAAGTATGCCCTTTTTATTCTAATCAAATGAAATTCAAACTAATTTATATAATGTGAATTAATACATGTTAAAAATAGAAGTGATAGAAATGAAATTATTATACTTACTTTATTTCAAGCTACAAAAACTCTTACTAGTTATGAAATTTCAAAATATCTCTAATACGTAAATGATAAGATAATGAATTATTATTTACATAATTGTCATTCAATTTAATATAAAATATTATTTATAACATTATTATTATTTAATTGCAAGAAGAAACAAAGAAAAGAGAACCTGATGATTACAACAATCTGGTTTCAAGTCTAAATAAGGAATTTAAATTTTCAGTATAAATAGATCAAAAGCAAGAGTTTGATTGAATTAAACGACGATTGATTGCCTTGAAAATATATAAAATTGAAGATAAAGATTCACCAACAAAGAAAAAAAATTAAAGCTCGTGAAAAAGCAAAAAATAAAAAAAGAAAAAATTCAATTCAATTTTATTATAATAGAAAATAATCCTCTAAAGAAACAAAATGAAAACAAAAATAAAAATGAAGAGGACGAAGATGATGACCTTATACTAAAAAACTTCAAAAACAAGTTTCTCAGTAAAAAGATCAAAATAAAGAAATATTAGATATTTATTTTTTATGAAACTTGTTTTTTAGTTTTTTTATATATATATTTTAAAATTTTAAAATTTATTAATGATTAATTTAATTTTATTATATAAAATTATTAAAATTAAATTATTGTTATATTATATTTTAATTGACTATCACATGCAAAGTACGTAGTCAAAAACTACTTCCAATAAATGGAATTTAATTTTGATAAAATTTTACAATGACACTTTAGAATAATAGATAATTTTTTTTTTTTTTACATAAACTACAAATTAAAATATCCAATGAATTACTACTCCATTTAACCTCGCTAATCAAACTATTGATTCAAATTTCTCAAGAAATTTGAGTGAAAACAAATGCAGTTGAAAAATATAAACAAATTCAAGACAAAGTTGCTGCTCACAACAGTTACTCTCCAGTCTTGGAGACTCCATTTTGCTGCATTGCACAACCAAAGTTTTGTCCAACGGCTATAGGAGCCTACTTGTTCCATAATGAAAGATCAAAAGCCATGATGTCCAAGCAATAGGTCATTGAGCTTCACAACTCTTTAACAAATGATTAACAAGATTGTGCAGATGCAGCAAAAACAAGGATACTGATATGGCTGCAAATGAAACTCATTTCATACTTGCCCTTAGAGACAGCAAGATTAACAAGGCAGGCAAATGAAACTCATTTCAATATGGCACTTAAAACCCACAAGACTAAGTAAAACAGCAGAGTAGAGAGAGAGCAGAATGTTGAGCTTAAGCTTCATCCATGGCAGAAAAGAAAACAGCTAAAAAACATGGATGCTGCATCTTCCAATTTCAACTAAAACAAGCTTCGGATCAAAACAATTATCTGAAACAAGGTAACAAGACATGGAAAATCTGAATACACCAAAAATAATTCTGAGTCTTAATGTGCACATCCTAAAAAATACTAAGGCTGCAGTCTATATTAACTCACCTTTCATTTTTTTCTTGAAATATTCAGTTTTTCTTCATATAGTTTCAAGAGCTCTGGTGCTTTGTTTGCGTGACGGTTAACAAACATCCCAAGGAAGTCCTTCTCTGTTGTTGTAAATAATCCAGATAATTTTATGTCATTACTTAAACCTTGTGATAACAATTCATGAGCAATCAGAGCCCTAGGAACAATCATCTTCTCAAAGCTCCGACAAAGAATACCCGGTTGTTTGGCAACAAGAATAGAATTGAAGCCAATTTTGTTCACAAGAAAATCCATTATAGCCATGATCTTGTCTTTAGAAACTGTAATACACAAGGGATGATTTTGAAAAGCTTCACGAATCTCTTGGTCAGACCAACCCGATCTCCTATAAACATCAAACTTATTTTCTAGAGTGGATTTGCTCATTGATCTCCATGCAATAACCGCTTCGACGAACTTCATTTTCGAAGATTCGAACCCATTCTTTTGACTTCCTCCACAATCCCCTTAAGCCGGGTTGGATTATGACAAAATGTTTTAGGTTGACGGTGAAGCATTGTAACAATATTTGATTCAGGGACTCCATTGCCTCTCAAAATATTCATATTTGGAAACAGAAACGACTCAAAATCATACACAAGAATACCGGGAAACCGTTTTGTAGCTTTCATGGTCTTGTCATTGGATTGAAACAGGCACCTTAGAAAATTAAATGAAGGGATAATTTTTTTCTCTAGACTAGAGCTCAAAAGTGCAGGGAAATTAGTCAAGAGTTTGGTAAGGTCAGGCCTTGAAAAACCTACAGCGTAAAAGAAACTCTAGTTTGGGCAAAAAGGTTTTCTCGGTATCATACACAAGCACGTTTGGCCATCTTTTGATGAGTTTTGTGATTTGGGTTTTGGAAAAGCCATGCTTTTCAGAAAAAGCAATGAAATAGTCAGCTTTTTCAGGGGTTTCAAAATGGACAAACTTTGAAGCCGAGAAAGCTGATTCTGGAGAAAACCCAAATTTGTTTATGAGGTATGAAACCGTGAATGAGTGCTGATTTGAGGATGTCGAGATGAATCTAAGACTACTTGATAGTTTAAAGACTGATGGGTTATCCTGAAAAAGTCTGTAACTTTGAGAGGCTGCGATTGTTTGCCTCCCATGAAGAAAACTAGCTCTACTGAGAAATAAAACATAGTAAGTCTTCCTTACTCACCTCTTGTTTTGAAGAAAATCTGTCCCCTGAAGAGAGAGAATCCGGTTTCCAGCAGAGAAAGGAAAAACTGAGCTGAGATCCGGGTAGATCTCCAAGAACCTCTTAAAATGGAATTTCCCTACCGGATTCTAGTGTCATTTATTGTATAGAAGCCAGGGGCTTTGTTTGTGTTGTGCAGTGCCCAAGCCAACTTGCCTTTTTGCTCCAATAAGCTGTACATGGCCCGATGGCCTGCCAAAATGAGCTTTGAACAAACATTAACCAAGTACGATTCAACCGATGGAACCTTTTTTTACTAGAATATTATTATTATTATTATATACATTAAAATTAAACATTTCTTTTCTTTTAAGTACTATATCATTTCAATTTAAAGAATTTACTTATTTGATTATTACAGTTTCTTCTCTTTATGTCAACCTCATGTTATTTACTTACAAACTAAGAGTAGTTCTTACAACGGGAAGTAAGCTATTAAAAATTTCAATACAATTTTATGGAATGGAAGCGGAAAAAGAATCAGTTGAAGATGGTAATGCTGATTTATAATGACACTATAGCCTCCAATGTTAATTTAAGGCATGGCTGCTTTTGACAACAGTGTTCTTTGTTTTTCTTTTTTTTTTTTAAATAAAGTTTTTCTCTAACTATCAATAACTGTATGATTTGTAAGTAAAATGTTAAATTCTTAATTCCGATAACTAAAGTTTAAATTCTGTCAATCTCAAATATTAAAAAAAAGTTGTTCTCTGGTCTTAGAAGCTCCATTTTGCATCACTGTTTAACCAAACAGTTAGTCTGATGGCCTATTTGATGCACACCGTAGGATCCAAAACTTTTTATATCTAGCCTTCCATTGGTGTTGATGGCTAGATACATGCAACATTGCCATTGAGATCCCAGGTTCAAAGGCTATCAGAAGAATTGAAAGAAGAAAGAAAAGCCCTTCAAAAACCTAAAAAAAAAACTCATGAGATCCAGACACTGTCACCTTGGAATAATATATGGTGACAGGACTTTGTCAAGCACTATGTCCATTGGTGTTGATGGCTAGATACATTTACCATTGCCATTGAGATACCAGGTTCAAAGGCTATCAGAAGAATTGAAAGAAGAAAGAAAAGCCCCTTCAAAAACCTTTAGAAAAAAAACTAGAGATCCAAGCACTCTTGTCACCTTGGAACTAGATATGGTGACAGGACTTTGTCAAGCTCCATTTTTTTACAAGAAATATGTTATAGCCATAAATTTTTTCTCAGATGCTGTCAAATACAAGGGACACATCCGAAAAGCTAGGTAACTCTCTATCAATCCAAGAACACTGATTATAAACATTAAACTTCCTCTCCTATGTGGATTTGCTGTTTGTCCTCAATCCAGACACCAGTAAGACCAGTGTAAACCTTGAAGAATATAACCTTATTTTCTCTATTTCCCACTCTCCCTATACTTGGTGGCAGAATTATAGTAATTAAAACTAAAATGACAAAGCTGCATCAAAACAACAGACAATTTGACCTTCATAACTTTAACCAAACGAAAAGCAAGAAGCAAAAGTTGCATGAAAAAGAACACCATTGATAGGTAAGTCTGCAAGGGAGACTCATTTCACAGTTGCATTTCAAGCAAGATAAGTACTAAACCACATAAAACAGTCAGTTCACAGTTTCATTGATGACAAAAGTGAATTCTGCTAAAAATATTGTACTAGTTGCACTCATTAATTCAATCATGAGTAAGTTTGAGATCAACAAATTCAATTGGATAAAAAAGTTAAATTCAGAAATGTTGTCCTACTACTATCTTGATCTATGTTTGTATCCTACAGCAAGATCCATTTTTTCTTTGTACAGCTTTAACAACGCCGGTGCTTTGTCTTCATATCGGTTAACAAATTTCTGAACAAACACCTTTTCTGAAGTGTGAAACAGGGCCGACAATCTAAAGTCCTTAATTAAACCTTTTGATAACAAATCTTGATTATTACAATTTCTTCTATTTATGTCAACCTCAAGTTATTTACTTACAAACTAAGAGTAGTTCTTCTTACAACGGGAAGTAAGCTATTACAAATTTCAATACAATTTTATGGAATGGAAGCAGAAAAAGATGCAGTTGAAGATGGTAATGCTGATTTATAATGACACTATAGCCTCCAATGTTAATTTAAGGCATGGCTGCTTTTGACAACAGTGTTCTCTGTTTTTTTTTTTTTTTTTCAAATAAAATTTTTCTCTAACTGTCAATAGCTATATGATTTGTAAGTAAAATGTTAAATTCTTAATTCCGATAACTAAAGTTTAAATTCTTTCAATCTCAAATATTAAAAAAAAGTTGTTCTCTGGTCTTAGAAGCTCCATTTTGCATCACTGTTTAACCAAACGGTTAGTCTGATGGCCTATTTGATGCACACTGTAGGATCCAAAACTTTTTATATCTAGCCTTCCAATGGTGTTGATGGCTAGATACATGCAACATTGCCATTGAGATCCCAGGATCAAAGGCTATCAGAAGAATTGAAAGAAGAAAGAAAAGCCCTTCAAAAACCTAGAAAAAAAAACTCATGAGATCCAGACACCATGTCACCTTGGAATAAGAAATGGTGACAGGACTTTGTCAAGCACTATGTCCATTGGTGTTGATGGCTAGATACATTTACTATTGCCATTGAGATACCAGGTTCAAAGGCTATCAGAAGAATTGAAAGAAGAAAGAAAAGCCCCTTCAAAAACCTTTAAAAAAAAAAAACTAGAGATCCAAGCACTCTTGTCACCTTACAACAAGATATGGTGACAGGACTTTGTCAAGCTCCATTTTTTTACAAGAAATATGTTATAGCCATAAATTTTTTCTCAGATGCTGTCAAATACAAGGGACTCATCCGAAAAGCTAGGTAACTCTCTATCAATCCAAGAACACTGATAATAAACATTAAACTTCCTCTCCTATGTGGATTTGCTGTTTGTCCTCAATCCAGACACCAGTAAGACCAGTGTAAACCTTGAAGAATATAACCTTATTTTCTCTATTTCCCACTCTCCCTATACTTGGTGGCAGAATTATAGTAATTAAAACTATAATGACAAAGCTGCATCAAAACAACAGACAATTTGACCTTCATAACTTTAAACAAATGAAAAGCAAGAAGCAAAAGTTGCGTGAAAAAGAACACCATTGACAGGTAAGTCTGCAAGTGAGACTCATTTCACAGTTGCATTTCAAGCAAGATAAGTACTAAACCACATAAAACAGTCAGTTCAGAGTTTCATTGATGACAAAAGTGAATTCTGCTAAAAATATTGTACTAATTGCACTCATTAATTCAATCATGAGTAAGTTTGAGATCAACAAATTCAATTGGATAAAAAAGTTAAATTCAGAAATGTTGTCCTACTACTATCCTGATCTATGTTTGTATCCTACAGCAAGATCCATTTTTTCTTTGTACAGCTTTAACAACTCCGGTGCTTTGTCTTCATATTGGTTAACAAATTTCTGAACAAACACCTTTTCTGAAGTGCCAAACAGGGCCGACAATCTAAAGTCCTTAATTAAACCTTTTGATAACAAATCTTGAGCAAACAAACCCCTTGGAACAATCACCTTTTCCAAGCTCCGTCCAAAAATACTTGGTTGATTGGCAATGAGCAAAGACTGAAAACCCATTTTGTTCACTAGAAAATCCATTATTGCTGCAATCTTCTCCTTGGATGCTTCCAAAACACCCGGATACTTTCGAAAAGCTTCCCAAATCTCTTGTTCAGACCAACCCCACTTCTTGTAAACATCAAACTTCCTCTCCATTGCAGGTTTGCTAACTTTTCTAAACATAATGACAGCAAGAAGAAATTTAAGCAACAAAGGATTGAACCCCATTTCCTTCACTTCCTTCACAATCTCCTTAAACCGATCAGGGTGCATGACAAAAGATCTAGGGTGGTAATTAAACATTGATATGATTTTTGATTCAGGCACCCCATTATCCCTCAGAGTTTTGATATTAGGTAACATATAAGCATCAAGTTTACATGGAATAAGATATGGATTGCGTCTTATAGCTGTAATAGCCTTGGAATCAGATTGAAGCAGATTGCTAAGCTGATTGAAACAAGGGATAATCTGTTTCTGTAAGCTACAAGATAAAAGCCTGGGGTTGTAATATAAGAGTTTGGAAAGTTCAGGGCTTGAAACACCTCTAGATTGGAAAAACTGGATTTTGGGCAACAGTGTTTTCTCAAAATCACAACACAGCAGACTTGGCCGAGTCTTGATGACTTGTCTGATTTGGGTTTCCGAAAATCCACGTTTCTCCAAGAATGCTATCACATTATCAGGTTTATCCGGGGTTTTGAAATGGACATACTTGGAAACTACCAAAGCAGATTCTGGTGAGAACCCAAGTTTGTTTCTGAGGTAAGAGACTGTAAAAGACTGAGATGCATCGGAACAGGTCTTTGAGATGCATCTAACTCTGAGGAATAAGAATGGTTTTGAGGAGATATTGTTCATAACAATGTGTGAAAGCCTAATTAAAACACTAATGCTTCTGCCAGGACGATTAAACATTTTGGAAAATTGAAATAAATTAAGCTACTCAGACAGAGACAACTCACCCTGAAAAGCTTTCAACTTTGCAACTGAAGGCCGACTGGAGAGGAGGCTACTCTTGAAAGTCAAAGCTGTTTTATTTTTGTGCAATGAAACCCAAAGTTTCAAACCCACGTTTTACCTGGCACCGGCAGAGTGACCTTTACATATTGAAATTATTACTAATTATGAAATTAATTTATGTAATAAAATCCCAGTTTTAGATTATAAAATAAAATAGAATTCTAGCTAAAAAAGTAATCATTTAAAAGCCTAAAATTTTTCCAACATTTTTTCAAAATTTGTCATATTCGTGGATGATTAAATTTATCATAAATCTTTCGATTGGTGCGATTAGAGTATCATATTTTTCATTTCTAACTTATTTTAAAATTTGAAACAGGTAAAGAAAGACACTTAATCCTGAAATCGACTTCCTGAAATTTACTTCAATATGGTTGAGCTAATAGTTTATTGGAATGAGATAAGAGAATTTCTATTATTATTTAATATTTTATTAATTTAAAAAAATAATTAAAAAATAAAATAACAAATCTAAAAATGAGTAAAATCTTCATTAGAGATCGAAGCAATTGATTTCAATATTTTATTCATTCGAATTTAATTGTGTCATAATTTTATAATTAATTTAAATTAATTTATTATTTGATAAATTGTATATTTTATATTAAATTAAAAAAGTAAGTAAGGCTAATTTATGAATAACCAATTGCATTATAAAAATTAGATAGGTTTGATTTAAGATTGCTTGATATTAAAAAAATTTATTAAATTCATCGAGCTGTTTCAAAAAATCAAAATAACTAGTTATTAATAAAATTTTTTGTTGATTTTATGTAAAATACTTGTTTGGACAAAGGCTTTCAAATATATCATAAATTAAATCTGTGCTAATGAATATTCAAACACATCATAAACTAAACCTATGCTAACAAATAATCAACCTGCAATGAATAGGAATAAATTATTATAATAAATCATCAAAATAAGTTGATGTTTTAAAGTTCTAAGAAGCATAAATTATCAAAACAAGTTGGGGTTTCAAGTTCAAAGGGAGCAAGCAAACACTGAAATTGAAGAGAACTTCATATTATAGAGTCAAAAATTATATACAATCATACGTATTAAAATGATTAATAAATTATATATCCAACTCTGATTTATTCGAATTAGATTGAGAATTAAAATAACAAAATGCCTACATTAACAAAATAAACAAAGTCACATCACATACCATATTTTGATATTGATAACAAATGTACACAATTAAATAAAAAGTGAAAAAATAACTAAAAATTTAATAGAAGATCTAGACAAATATTACACTTACTCTCATATCTTGATAAATTACTCTTTGACTAGCTCCTTTATCATCACTGTTGAAAGCAAATGACTGCCTGCCAAATTGACTCCAGTACTCTTGGAAAAGCTTCTTCATTTGTTCAAGAACACCTTACCGCTTGTTTTCATATTCTGGACCCAATTGTGAGAAAATAAACTGCAACAGTTGGAACTTAAAATGAGGGTCAAGTATGGCTGCAAAAAATGGTACCAAAGCATGTTCCTCCCAATAATTTGCAACTTGCTTTTCATCTTTATTGCCATTTGTTTCATGATTGGATCTTCAGATAGAAGTTCTTTCTCAGTCTTTTTCTGAATTTGGTATACATTTTCAAAATATAAGTTGGATGTGGGGTATTCAGTTCCTGAAAATAAGGTGGTTAGGTCATTAAAAGGCTTCAAAAGTGCAAAAATCTTCTCAATGCATGGAAGATCATCATCTTCTCAAAAAAAATTATTGAAAGTCTGATCTGCCCTGGCTAAATTTTAAAGGCAGCAAGATAGTAGAGAAACCTTTGTAGCATCAAATAAGTGGAGTTCCATCTGTTGCTACATCCAACCATAATCCCACAGAATAACTCAATCTAGCTTGAACTACGCATTCGCGAAACTTAATCTTTCTAGCTTCGGATCCTTCAACATACTTCACGCAATTTCTTACTTTCATTTAGCCTTCTTTACTCACTTCTAAACCATATTGAATAAGAAGATTCAATAAATGAGCAGCACAACGAATGTGTAAAAACTGACCATGACACAGCAAAGCATCTTGTCGATCAAGTCGACTGCATAACATTTGTTGCATGTTATTCATGTTAGTAGCATTGTCAAAGGTAATACTAAAAACCTTTTTTTCAGTTCCCCAATCTTTCAATAACTCATAGACTATGTCATACAACGGCAACATGACGGAAACACAAAATTTTGCTACACGACTTCTAATCAGTGTCAATATAATGAGCAGTCAAGCAAAGATATCCATCTGATGTGCATGAAGTCCACATATTAGATGTCAAAAAAATCCTACTTGAAACTTTTTCGAAATTAGATTAAAGCATTTGTTTCATTTTCATGTGTGGTTTCAAGCAATCAGCCTTACAAGTATTCCAAGAAATGGGTTTGAAATCTTCATTTAAATAGCAACAGAAGGCCTAGTTTTCCTATGTTCAACCCATTCAAATGGATAGCCATGCTCAATTACATTTTCAGCAATCATTTCTCGATAAACATCTGATTCTATGTTACTTGGTGGCCTTACTTCACATTCATGCACTTGACGTTTAGGGCATTTCTTTAAATGACATTTTAAAGAGGAAGTACCTGAACGAGACTCACCAATTAAAACCTTCCCACAGTGTATACATTTAGCTCTCTCTTTTGAATCTCCATGGAGTTGTTCATATCTCCTTTGTTCATCGGGGTCAAGCATAACAAACTCTACCCAAACTTCAGACCACCTTCTTGAAGAAGCAGGAGGAACAGTAATGGAAGATGCTACATATTCACTGATGGGTTATCCTGAAAAAGTCTATAACTTTGAGAGGCTGTGATTGTTTGCCTCCCATGAAGAAAACTAGCTCTACAGAAAAAATAAAACATAGGAAGTCTTCCTTACTCACCTCTTGTTTTGAAGAAAATCTGTCCCCTGAAATAGAGAATCTGGTTTCCAGCAGAAAATGAAAAAACTGTGCTGGGATCCGGGTAAACCTCCAAAAACCTCATATTATGGAATTTCCCTACCGTATTCTACTATCTTTTCTTGTCTTGTATAGAAGCCGAGGGCTTTGTTTGTGTTGGGCTACGTCCAACCTAAACTTGCTTTTATGCTCCAATACGGCAGAGTAAGCGACAAGTTTTTATGAGCACATCAAAATGAGCCTTGAACAAGCATTTAAAGATGTTAACCGAGTGCCATTCAGCTGATGGATATCTATTTTTCCAGCATATTATTATTACTATTATCATTATTATTATATACATTAAAATTAAACATTTCCCTTCTTTTAAGTACTATATCATTTTAATTTTTAAGAATTTACTTATTTGATTATTACAATTACGCATTTGCTTGGATTATGCATTTTACTTTGCCTAGAGCCCAGCTCAATTAACAACTTTTTATTCCAATAAATTGAATTTAATCTTGTTAAAACTTTAATTTGACACTTTATAATAGTAGATAAATTTATTTATTTTTACATAAACTACAAATAAAAATATCCAATGAATTACTACTCCATTTAATTTCGCTAATCAAACTATTGATTCAATTTTCTTGACAAATTTGAGTGAAAACAAATGCAGTTGAAAAATATAAACAAATTCAAGACAAAGTTGCTGTTCACAACAGTTACTCTCCAGTCTTGGAGACTCCATTTTGCTGCATTGCACAACCAAAGTTTTGTCCAACGGCTATATGAGCCTACTTGTTCCATAATGAAAGATCAAAAGCCATGAGGTCCAGCAATAGGTCATTGAGCTTCACAACTCTTTTAACAAATGATTAACAAGATAGTGTGGATGCTGCAAAAACAAGGATACTGATATGGTTGCAAATGAAACTCATTTCACACTTGCACTTAGAGACAGCAAGATTAACAATGTAGGCAAATGAAACTCATTTCAATATGGCACTTAAAACCCACAAGACTAAGTAAAACAGCAGAGTAGAGAGAGAGCAGAATGTTGAGCTTAAGCCTCATCCATGGCAGAAAAGAAAACAGCTAAAAAACTTGGATGCTGCATTTTCCAATTTCACCTAAAACAACTTTCGGATCAAAACAATTATCTGAAACAGGGTAACATGACATGGAAAATCTGAATGCACCAAAAATAATTCTGCACATCCTAAAAAATACTAAGGCTGCAGTCTATATTAACTCACCTTTCATTTTGTTTCTTGAAATATTCAGTTTTTCTTCATATAGTTTCAAGAGCTCTGGTGCTTTGTTTGCATGACGGTTAACAAACATCCTAAGGAAGACCTTCTCTGTTGTTTGAAATAATACAGACAATTTTATGTCATTAATTAAACCTTGTGATAACAATTCATGAGCAATCAGAGCCCTAGGAACAATAATCCTCTCAAAGCTCCGACAAAGAATACCCGGTTGTTTTGCAACAAGAATAGAATTGAAGCCCATTTTGTTCACAAGAAAATCCATTATAGCCATGATCTTGACTTTAGAAACTCTAATAAACAAAGGATGCTTTTGAAAAGCTTCAAGAATCTCTTGGTCAGACCAACCCCATCTCCTATAAACATCAAACTTATTCTCTAGTGTGGATTTGCTCATTGATATCCATGCAAAAACCGCTTCGACAAACTTCATTCTCGAAGAATCGAACCCCATTCTTTTGACTTCCTCCACAATCTCCTTAAGCCGGGTTGGTTTAAGACAAAATGTTCTAGGCTGACGCTGAAGCATTGTGAGAATATTTGATTCAGGGACTCCATTTCCTCTCAAAATATTCATATTTGGAAACAGAATCGACTCAAAATCATACAAAAGAATACCGGGAAACCGTTTTGTAGCTTTCACGGTCTTGTCATTGGATTGAAACAGGTTCCTTAGAAAATTAAATGAAGGGATAATTTGTTTCTCTAAACTACTTCTCCAAAGTGCTGGGTATTTAGTCAAGAGTTTGGCAAGGTCAAGCCTTGAAAAACCTGCAGTGTAAAGAAACTCTAGTTTGGGCAAAATGGTTTTCTCGGTATCATATACAAGCAGTTTTGGCTGTCTTTTGATGAGGTTTGTGATTTGGGTTTTGGAAAAGCCATACTTTGCCAAAAAAGCAATGAAAGAGTCAGGTTTTTCAGGGGTTTCAAAATGGACACACTTTGAAGCCAAGGAAGCTGACTCTGGAGAAAACCCAAATTTGTTTATGAGGTATGAAACAGTGAATGAGTACCGATTTGAGGTTGTGGAGATGAATCTAAGACTACTTAATAGTTTAAAGACTGATGGGTTATCCTGAAAAAGTCTGTAACTTTTAGAGGCTGTGATTGTTTGCCTCCCATGAAGAAAACTAGCTCTATAGAGAAAATAAAACATAGTAAGTCTCCCTTACTCACCTCTTGTTTTGAAGAAAATCTGTCCCCTGAAGAGAAAGAATCTTGTTTCCAGCAGAGAATGGGAAAACTAAGCTGAGATCCGGGTAAATCTCCAAAAACCTCCTAAAATGGAATTTCCCTACCGGATTCTAGTGTCTTTTATTGTATAGAAGCCAGGGGCTTTGTTTGTGTTGTGCGGTGCCCAAGCCCAACTTGCTTTTTTGCTCCAATAAGCTGTACATGGCCGGATGGCCTGCCAAAATGAGCTTTGAACAAACATTAACGGTGTACGATTCAACCGATGGAACCTATTTTACGAGAATATTATTATTATTATTATATACATTAAAATTAAACATTTCTTTTCTTTTAAGCACTATATCATTTTAAGTTGAAAGAATTTACTTATTTGATTATTACAATTTCTTCTATTTATGTCAACCTCAAGTTATTTACTTACAAACTAAGAGTAGTTCTTCTCACAACGGGAAGTAAGCTATTACAAATTTCAATACAATTTTATGGAATGAAAGCAGAAAAAGATGCAGTTGAAGATGGTAATGCTGATTTATAATGACACTATAGCCTCCAATGTTAATTTAAGGCATGGCTGCTTTTGACAACAGTGTTCTCTGTTTTTATTTTTTCTTTTCAAATAAAATTTTTCTCTAACTGTCAATAGCTATATGATTTGTAAGTAAAATGTTAAATTCTTAATTCCGATAACCAAAGTTTAAATTCTTTCAATCTCAAATATTAAAAAAAAGTTGTTCTCTGGTCTTAGAAGCTCCATTTTGCATCACTGTTTAACCAAACGGTTAGTCTGATGGCCTATTTGATGCACACTGTAGGATCCAAAACTTTTTATATCTAGCCTTCCAATGGTGTTGATGGCTAGATACATGCAACATTGCCATTGAGATCCCAGGATCAAAGGCTATCAGAAGAATTGAAAGAAGAAAGAAAAGCCCTTCAAAAACCTAAAAAAAAAACTCATGAGATCCAGACACTGTCACCTTGTAATAATATATGGTAACAGGACTTTGTCAAGCACTATGTCCATTGGTGTTGATGGCTAGATACATTTACCATTGCCATTGAGATACCAGGTTCAAAGGCTATCAGAAGAATTGAAAGAAGAAAGAAAAGCCCCTTCAAAAACCTTTAAAAAAAAAACTAGAGATCCAAGCACTCTTGTCACCTTGGAACTAGATATGGTGACAGGACTTTGTCAAGCTCCATTTTTTTACAAGAAATATGTTATAGCCATAAATTTTTTCTCAGATGCTGTCAAATACAAGGGACACATCCGAAAAGCTAGGTAACTCTCTATCAATCCAAGAACACTGATTATAAACATTAAACTTCCTCTCCTATGTGGATTTGCTGTTTGTCCTCAATCCAGACACCAGTAAGACCAGTGTAAACCTTGAAGAATATAACCTTATTTTCTCTATTTCCCACTCTCCCTATACTTGGTGGCAGAATTATAGTAATTAAAACTAAAATGACAAAGCTGCATCAAAACAACAGACAATTTGACCTTCATAACTTTAACCAAACGAAAAGCAAGAAGCAAAAGTTGCATGAAAAAGAACACCATTGATAGGTAAGTCTGCAAGGGAGACTCATTTCACAGTTGCATTTCAAGCAAGATAAGTACTAAACCACATAAAACAGTCAGTTCAGAGTTTCATTGATGACAAAAGTGAATTCTGCTAAAAATATTGTACTAGTTGCACTCATTAATTCAATCATGAGTAAGTTTGAGATCAACAAATTCAATTGGATAAAAAAGTTAAATTCAGAAATGTTGTCCTACTACTATCCTGATCTATGTTTGTATCCTACAGCAAGATCCATTTTTTCTTTGTACAGCTTTAACAACGCCGGTGCTTTGTCTTCATATCGGTTAACAAATTTCTGAACAAACACCTTTTCTGAAGTGTGAAACAGGGCCGACAATCTAAAGTCCTTAATTAAACCTTTTGATAACAAATCTTGAGCAAACAAACCCCTTGGAACAATCACCTTTTCCAAGCTCCGTCCAAAAATACTTGGTTGATTGGCAATGAGCAAAGACTGAAAACCCATTTTGTTCACTAGAAAATCCATTATTGCCGCAATCTTCTCATTGGATGCTTCCAAAACACCTGGATACTTTCGAAAAGCTTCCCAAATCTCTTGTTCAGACCAACCCCATTTCTTGTAAACATCAAACTTCCTCTCCATTGCAGGTTTGCTAACTTTTCTAAACATAATGACAGCAAGAAGAAATTTAAGCAACAAAGGATTGAACCCCATTTCCTTCACTTCCTTCACAATCTCCTTAAACCGATCAGGGTGCATGACAAAAGATCTAGGGTGGTAATTAAACATTGATATGATTTTTGATTCAGGCACCCCATTATCCCTCAGAGTTTTGATATTAGGTAACATATAAGCATCTAGTTTACATGGAATAAGATATGGATTGCGTCTTATAGCTGTAATAGCCTTGGAATCAGATTGAAGCAGATTGCTAAGCTGATTGAAACAAGGGATAATCTGTTTCTGTAAGCTACAAGATAAAAGCCTGGGGTTGTAATATAAGAGTTTGGAAAGTTCAGGGCTTGAAACACCTCTAGATTGGAAAAACTGGATTTTGGGCAACAGTGTTTTCTCAACATCATAACACAGCAGAGTTGGCCGAGTCTTGATGATTTGTCTGATTTGGGTTTCCGAAAATCCACGTTTCTCCAAGAATGCTATCACATTATCAGGTTTATCCGGGGTTTTGAAATGGACATACTTGGAAACTACCAAAGCAGATTCTGGTGAGAACCCAAGTTTGTTTATGAGGTAAGAGACTGTAAAAGACTGAGATGCATCGGAACAGGTCTTTGAGATGCATCTAACTCTGAGGAATAAGAATGGTTTTGAGGAGATATTGTTCATAACAATGTGTGAAAGCCTAATTAAAACACTAATGCTTCTGCCAGGACGATTAAACATTTTGGAAAATTGAAATAAATTAAGCTACTCAGACAGAGACAACTCACCCTGAAAAGCTTTCAACTTTGCAACTGAAGGCCGACTGGAGAGGAGGCTACTCTTGAAAGTCAAAGCTGTTTTATTTTTGTGCAATGAAACCCAAAGTTTCAAACCCACCGTTTTACCTGGCACCGGCAGAGTGACCTTTACATATTGAAATTATTACTAATTATGAAATTAATTTATATAATAAAATCCCAGTTTTAGATTATAAAATAAAATAGAATTCTAGCTAAAAAAGTAATCATTTAAAAGCCTAAAATTTTTCCAACATTTTTTCAAAATTTGTCATATCGGTGGATGATTATGTGACGCTCCGAATCGAGGCATAACACGGTCATATTACCTTGAAGTAAAACCCCAAAGCAATACGAAGCCTAATCCATAACCATTGAACAACTCTCAAATATAAAATATTCTCATTAAGTAACACAACTAGATAACAAGTCTCCAAAGGTTCAAAGTAGAGTATTACAACTAAAATAAATAATACTTCATAAAATCCTATATTTCTAAGTAGTTCTTCAATGCTCGATTCTTCTAGCTTTTCTCAAGCTAATCATACTTATCATTCATAACATCTGTAAAAAAAAAGAAAATAGGGAATGAGCAAACCACAGCTCAGTAAGTGAAGGCTCACACACCTTACTGGATCAAACATCGTTTCATACATGTCATATAGATCATTCAAAATATTCGTTAAATCATAATGTCAAAACATCTCAATATCATCGTTCTGTCAAACATTTTATAAATTCATAAATCATTGTAAAATATGTTATCATTCAAATATCGTAATCAAACCAAATCATGGATCAATCATTAAAAATCATCGTAAATCATCATTATCATAAATCATCATTATCAATCAAATCGTTATCATTCAAATCGTTAGCTACGGTCACTGCTATAACCCGTGACATTGGCCGTATCGACAATTTCATTCTCATGATCATTGCTAACTATTATAACCCGTTAGCTAGGGCTTATGCTAACTACTATTACCCGTTAGCCAGGGTCGTATGATCATGTCTTTGCTAACTACTATTACCCGTTAGCCAGGGTCGTAGAACTAGTTCTGGTGTCGATGATCCCACTTCCCAGGGATATAAAAACGTAGCTATCATAAAATTATTCTTTAAACATAAATCATTTTCTCATTTTATTCATAAGCATGATCCATCATTTATATAAAGAAACACAAAATAATCATATGCTTGATCCTATTTTCATATATCGAAAATAAAGAAATAAAACGTTCTTTCATTTAGAAACATATATAAATATATATACATAGATTCGAAAACAAGCAAAGTGTATGAGATTCTACTTACCTTCTTCTGATTCCACCACCTAATTTTTCTCCCTCAAAATTTAGTGGCCTATTCAAGATAATTCCAACATAACAATAATTAATCAACCCATTTGAGGCCACTTATACCAAAACAATTAAGTTAAACAAGTAATAACTCGAGTAATTAATTCTGGCAGTCTGCGCTACTTTCACTAAAACGACCATAACTCAAGATATCCAATTCGTAATTAAAAACTTATTAATGCGTTAGAAACTAGACTTGACAAGCTTTCTAACCATATATGGCTCATCTCGTGATTCTTTGTGGATTAATTATAACAATTTTTGAAATCCACGTCAAATGCTGCTGCCAGACAGCCTGTATACCTTTTCATAAAAATTACGCATTTATTCATAGGTAACTCCAAATTCAATTTCGCTTATTTCATTGGAAAGTAGACTCGATAAGCTTTCCAAACATGTAAGGCTTAAACTGTAAATCCTTGTATAAAAATTTAGGGAAATTTCGAAATTCCCCCTTACTGCTGCTCTAGGCAGCCTGCACTTCCTTAGGTAAAAATTGGATAACTCTTCATAGAGGACTCGAATTCGACTCCCGTTTATTTCATTAGAAAGTAGATTCAACATGCTTTCCAACCATATATAGTAATCATAGTAGTATTTAACCCTTTAATACAGAATATAACCTTAATTCATCACTACAAACACATGATTCATATCAGGATTTATACGAAACAAAGATTTTCCTTTCTATTCCCATCAAATTTCTGTTTCAACAATAAATTCACATTACCAACTTTCTCAACACTTAACTTGACTCTAATTAAAGTCTAAATCATCTGTCCAAAGAGGGATAATGGAAACCCTAAAATTTTAGGGTTTCTCGATTATAATCTACACTTTAAGACTTAACCATCAATACTCCAAAAATTGAAAAAAATTATTTACTCACCTCTAACAGATAATTTCTCCTTGTAGATTTGTTCTTCCCTTCACTTGAAATCCTTCAATTGATCTATTCTGTATAAGAAACATATGAGAAATAAGTTTCTGTTTTTATTACGACTAATCGTCGACTGAAAACTGAAAAGTTAACTCTATTAATAAAGAAATTTGGGTTATTTATCAATAAGTCCTCTACACTTCTCATTCTTTATTAAAGAGTCCCCCCACTTATAAAAATACTTAAAATAGTCCCTTTTTTTTTTCGGGTATTACAATCTCCCCAACTTATAAAAAGTTTCGTCCTCGAAACTTGATTTACCTTCATTTTCGAATAACTGAGGATGTCGTTTCTTCATATCATCTTCCATTTCCCAAGTTGCTTCTCTTGGTGTATGATTGCTCCATTGGACTTTTATAAAGGAAATAGTTCTATGCCTTAAGACTTGCTCTTTTCGATCAATTATTCGAATAGGATATTCCAAGTATGTTAAATCTTCTTGAACTTCTAAAGGTTCATACTCTATCACGTGGCTTGGGTTAGAGACATACTTTCTCAACATGGACACATGAAAAACATTGTGCATACCAGATAGTTGAGGTGACAAAGCTATCCTATATGCAACTTCTCCCACCTTATCAAGAATTTCAAATGGACCTATATAACGTGGGCTTAGCTTTCCTCGCTTCCCAAACCGCATAACACCTTTTGTGGGTGACACCTTTAAAAAAATAAAATCCCCTTGTTGAAATTCTAACTCCCTTTTCTTTTTATCTGCCCAACTTTTCTGATGATCTTGTGCTGCATTAAGTCTCTCCTTAATCACCTTGATCTTTTCTACAGTCAGTTGCACCATTTCTGGCCCTATGAGTTTTCTTTCCCCAACATCATCCCAACATAAAGGGGATCTACACTTTCTACCATACAAGGCCTCAAAAGGAGCCATTCCAATACTAGATTGATAACTGTTATTATAAGCGAACTCCGCTAAAGGTAAGTAATCATCCCAACTACCTTTTAGATCAATCACACATGCTCGAAGCATATCTTCTAAAATCTGATTTGTTCTCTCTGTTTGCCCATCTGTCTGAGGGTGAAAGGCTGTACTCAATTTCAAATTTGTCCCCATAGCTCGCTGTAAGCTTACCCAAAACTTAGAAACAAATCTAGAATCTCTATCTGACACAATACTCACTGGAACTCCATGTAATCGGATAATTTCACCCATGTACAATTGTGCTAGTTTATCAAGTGGAGTAGTCGACTTGATAGGTAGAAAATGAGCTGATTTAGTGAGTCTATCAACAATTACCCATACTGCATTATTCCCTTTAGATGACCTAGGTAACCCCATCACGAAATCCATAGAGATGTGCTCCCACTTCCATTCCGGTATCTCCAAAGGTTGTAACAACCCTGATGGTCTTTGGTGTTCAGCCTTAACTTGCTGACACACTAGACATTGGGACACAAACTGAGCTATGTCACGTTTCATATTATTCCACCAAAAACTTCCTTTCAAATCTTTATACATCTTAGTGCCTCCAGGATGTATAGTGAATCGAGACCCATGTGCTTCCTCCAAGATCTCTCGTTTTAGAACAAGATCATTTGGTACACACAATCTATTTCTAAAACGTAATGTGCCATCCTCGTGAAGAATAAACTCTGATCGCAAACCATTCTGCACTTCTGTCTTAATTCTGTCTAACTCACTATCTTCTTTTTGTGCAAATTTTATCTTTTCGATCAAAGTTGGTTGAACCACCAAACTAGCCATAACAACACCTTTTCCCTGTATAATCACCTCGATTTGCTGCGTATCAAGTTCCTCCACCAATTTTGGTTGCAAAGTAAGTAAAGCAGCCATACTTCCAATGGACTTTCTACTAAGAGCATCAGCAACTACATTAACTTTGCCCGGATGATAATTGATGGTCAAATCATAATCTTTGATTAATTCCAACCATCTTCTCTGTCTCATGTTCAACTCTTTCTGTGTAAACAGATACTTTAAACTCTTATGATCTGTATAAATTGCACAAGGCTCTCCATACAAATAATGTCTCCATATTTTCAAAGCAAACACAATGGCAGCTAACTCTAAGTCATGAGTCGGATAATTTTGCTCGTAGGTTTTTAATTGCCTAGAAGCATAAGCAATTACCCTTTCATTCTGCATTAACACACAACCCAACCCCTTCTTGGAAGCATCACTATAAATGGTAAAACTACCAATATCAGAAGGTAAAGTAAGGATAGGTGCTGACACCAATCGTTGCTTTAGCTCTTGAAAACTCTGTTCACATTCTTTAGTCCATTCAAATTTTGCTCGCTTTTGAGTTAAACGAGTCAATGGCACTGCAATTTGAGAAAACCCCTCAACAAATCTTCTATAATAACCTGCCAAGCCTATAAAACTTCTTACTTCTGTCATATTTATCGGGCGAGGCCAATTCACCACCGCCTCAATCTTTTTCGGATCAACTGAAATCCCATCTTCAGAAATAACATGACCAAGAAAACTAATACTTGTCAACCAAAATTCACATTTGCTAAACTTTGCAAAGAGTTGTTTATCCCGTAAGATCTGTAATACAATTCTCAAATGTTTCTCATGTACCTCATCACTCTTAGAATAAACCAGAATGTCATCAATAAAAACAACAACAAATTGATCCCTCAAAATTAATTGAAACTTTA